CGTCGAATGAAAGAGATAGAATTGCAAATAGAGACAAAGAGGGAGCACATGTGTCTACTACGGTCGTAAATTGGTTGCCTGCACTTGATTATGTGTGAAAATAGTTCCCAGTGCCCCTTGATAAACCAATTTATATTTTTCGTTTTTCATAAAGCTATTAAAATGGAATTCATAAGAAATATGAAAATGTAAATAGTTCAATCTTTATTATCTTTTATTGATATTTATCTTGTAACTATTTCTATGAGTTCTGTTTGCTTGCAAATAAATCGTAAATATTTATAGTTCAGAGCCAATGCAAACTTTGCTTGCAAAATGATTTTTCAGCTGCGCACGAAAGTATGCAGCTGTGTAAAAATTCAACTTTGATTTGATAATGATTTCTGCGAAATAAAATGTTTTCTTCGGCACTGAAGCAAGTCTAGGGAATCTTGTTGCATAATTTACTGCAGGCACTATGCGTTTTACCCTCATGTTTCCACTATTTTCCCCCATCATTTCCCAATCCCATCCTGGGCTAATGGCACTCTGCATATTTCATCATATTAACTGCCAAAACAACGCATAATCAACTGCCATGCCCATTATGTTGGTCTATTTAGTAAGGGTAAGAAGCACCCTCCGTACAACAGATTCAAGCTCCCTTAACAATACATTTAAATGTTGCAAACTCAAATTTCCCCCAATCATCAATGCAAATGGGATGGTTTAGGTCCTATCGCTTTTCCATCTATTTCCCTGCTTTTCCACGGATTTCCCCGCTTTTCCTCACCCAATTTGCCACCAATCGAGTGCACTAATTATACAGCTAAACAATTTCGTATTTCGGGGGCCTTTGTTTATGCGACTAAGCGAACTTTGCATCTGCTCTGCATAGAGAACGGAATTCTTAAATTGGTTGCGTAAACATTTGCTATACTGGTTAAATCAAACATCGCAGGTTTTAGCGGGGTTAAATTGGGTTTGGAAAATCAACGTTAAATTTTATTAAGGGTATTAAAATTTTGCCCAAAATTAAGTAACTCGGTGAAGGAGTCATTTCCGACAAAGTATTTTAGCATATATCAGATCAGCATCACGAGGCGATTTTATATGGACATGTACGTATTTTCGACTGTTTTTTACCTTTTGCCAGATAAGTTAGCTATTAGCTAGAGGCTTCAAACTTTCACAATTTTTTCTTTAAGAACATACTGTTTTGTGGAGCTGACAACCAAAATTATGATAGCTCTTGTAACGGGCAAAAAAACTGCATAGAACCACACAGCCAGCTCGGCAGATATACATACATATGTAAGCTAAAGCATATAGTCATCCAATTAAAACTCAAGGTGATACCTCCAACATAGGATAAAAATAAATTATATTAGACAAAAACAGCGAGCAATGTCCATTTTTGGCAATTGTGCAAACAAACAAGAAAGTTTTTTATACCCTTGCAGCTGTTACAAAAATTAAATATTTTATATTTCGATTTCAATGCTTTTAAAAACAATTAAGCTAGGTCGATTTTCGTTTTAAAAGTATTGATGTCTATAACTTAAGTTTTGGTTTTTTGATCAAAACCCTGCGAAATAATGGTAAAATGACATGCCTCGTTGAATTCGTTATTAAATTACCAATCGATTGCCATTCACAGCTAAAAAATTTGACTTTTATCCAATTATCCCAAAAAAAACATGAAAAATAAAATTGTGAATATAAAAAATGCGTAAATCGAGAGTTTAAGGACTTAAATGCACAAAACAGTCTTTCTTTTGGCTGTGCGTTGTGTTTTGGCTAAGTTGAAACAAAAAAGGCCGAATACATATTTTTTTCAGTTATAATCCCGAATACATTTTTTTGCTCAATATCCTAAAATAATTATCTTTTTCAAAACGACTAAAATGTGCAACCACAATTTTGATGACGTCAATTTATTCAATCAGCTATGATTAATAATTTTCGTTGGATTTTTTATTTTTTAAAAGCAAAATCAAAGAGTCATACTGACAACGAGCGGGTAATGTTAAGCCCTCGAGATAAGTACATGCCTTAAATGTATTAAATGCACAATACACACCCAGTCATATCCGTAAAGTCATTCCTATATAAGCTGAGAAAGTGCTCAGGATCTAAGTCAGCATTCCTCGGAAACACCAGCTTGAAACATTTGCCTTGTGAAATTTTCATGGGATGCAGTTATGAATTTATTTATGACTCTTATTTTCCGGATGCTTGTGCTTGTGTGTAGTTCAGTTTTGTAATCCTTTTGGAATTTTATTTGTTTTCCATATATATTTAAACATTTGCTTAGCTAAAACCAAAAATAGCAAATCCGACCTTGGCAATGTGCAACACTTTTATAGTGAGACCATCAATTTGAAAACAAGGCAAATCACTGATATTTTATTATAAACAAAATAATGGACTGCATTGCAATCAAAAGGGATTCATGAATGCAAAATGTGTGCTGAAATTCTAAATCAGGAATTCCTGATCAGATACGTGGCTGCGCGGTATTTACTTACACTCAAATATTATTTAGTGTGTTTAGCATGGTCTTATAAATGTTTACCAAAAATATTAAAAGTAATTGATATTTGAATTATCATTATCTTTTAGTTTGCGCTCGTGGAAATTTCTACAATTTATTATCTATCTCTAAAATTATATAGATTTTTGAAATCTTTGTGTGCAGATTTGTGTTCTTCCCCATAAGCTATAATTTTTTGTGGATATTGGCGTCTTTTTGGGTGGTCCAAACTTTTTATTTCTTTTTCGCTCATTTATAAATGCGTTTTGTTTATAAGACAAAAATAAGTTGAATATATAAGTACATAACCATTTGTTTAAATTGTCTGATTGAGTAATTGATATTTCTGGAAAGAATTGTTGCTAAAACTGAATAAAAAAAAATGTGTTAAAAAATGCGCTCGAAAGCAATTTTAAGTAAGCTTTTCGCTACCTTAGGTAAAAAAGAAAAAAACATTTTTGTTGATTTTAAATATTGGGTAATCTTTATTCTTGTATTTTAAATATTATATATTTATATTACTGAAAAGGTCTAACAGCTAACTCACCATTTTTCTAAATATATATAAAATAGGTATGCAATTTAATAAATCTCGTTATTTTATAAATTGAGTAAGCAACTATTCTTACAGAAAATAATATTTGAAATTTTACTAAATATAAGTGGATTAACTTTGGTTTTTGTTTAAATTACGTCCTTAAAAATACAAATAAAGCTTGTATTTGCTATTTTCAAAGACTTCCTCTAAGTATTAAATCTTGTTCCTTTGGTTTTGAATATAACATGCATATGGACAACATTAAAAGCGCCTCTCGTTGGTCATTATCTGGCCGGTCTCTCGATTTTTAAGAGAGAGCCGGGGCGTAAAGTGACCGGTTGGGGAGCATTATCTAAAGTTTTACGCTTTTTGCTTCGGCTGCCTTTTCGTTTATTTTCTTTTCACACTGATAAAATGTGAAAAAGAAAACGCAGTGCTGTTTAGACAGCGTGCGTTTGATTGAAGTCCGGCGTCGACGTCGGCACCGCAGTCGCTATAATAATGATCATCGGAGGGCGGGTTCTCCGGTTCGAGTTCGGGATCGTTGGGATCAGTCTTTGGGACGCGCGTTTGCAGTAAAGATCGCGGCGAAGAAGTGTTCGAAATCATTTTGCGTGCCTCTGTTTGTGGTAAAGTTTCATTGAATTTATTGAACAGTGTTATATTAATATATTTAACTTGACTAAAGTGTGCGATGAACTGAAAAATGTATTCCAAAATTAACACAATTAATAATGCCTATTAAATACAGCTTAAAACAAATTGATAAAGCGCATTAAACGATATTCAGTGAAAACAAAAACCAAGAAAAGGGTAAAAAAAAAACATGACTGAAAGTCGCATAATTGATTCGTTTATGCAAGCTCAGCAAAATTAATCTATGAATATTACCCATGTTAAGCCGTTTGAAACCAATAAAAACTCCAAACGAGCTGGCCATTTATTATGCAGTTTATTAAATTTAAATCTCTTTGTTGTGTTTGCTTATTGGTGTAAAAATAGCCCTGCTGAATGGAAAGCAGAGATATATAGAAAAAGAGCGTGGAGGAAGTCTTTGTGTGGTTGTGACCAAACAGCTGATTTTGTATTTTTAGCTCATTTTTGTTTTATTTTAAAACTTCAGCTCTCTTAAAGGTATTCGTTTTGGGTCTCTTTTAAACTTTTTTTTCTGCGGGAGAATGTGAAATCATGCCTTTATAACGATTTCGGAATATTATGTTTGTTGATTTTTATTTCAGCTATTTAATTGAAAAACAATAATATTTTGCTTTGATTATGTCCATGTCATTCTTAGCATTTACAATTCTTTTATTACAATTAACTATTTGTTTTTCCCGATATTACTATAATATTCATCGCCAACTTTTGTTTTTCTGAACTGATTTATCCCTGAACTTGAAAATAAATTGTATTGTTTATTAATTTCCTGCTGAGATTTTTTTCACACATCCCCCCGTCGATGTTTGGAAAAACATTTTCTACTAATAGACATTATTTATTGTTACTTAAAGAATTTTTCAGTGGCATGCATTGCAAAATTTTTGTGTACAAATAAATAGATTTACTTGTGAAATTCTACGGAAATTACATAATTTATAACTTTGCATTTGATCCATAAATAGGGTTAATTAAATCATTCAAAGAGGTTCTGACGAAACGCTCCATAAAGATTATGCGTGTATAGATTGCATATTTCCAAGTCATTCATAAGTCTGATTAATAGCTTAACAATTTTTTTTCTTATCGGTCAGAATTATTAATCCAATTTCAAGTAGGTTGCAATAACTGGAAGTACCTTGTTTTATAATATTCACTTCCTTAGCCTATCGATAAATGTATAGATTAGACGGGTACTTTTTTTTTAAATTTTATAACTATAGGCTTTTGTGAATGGCTAACTAATAAATTGAATAATACCAGCCCTTTCTCTAATAAATTGAAAGGCAATCATGGTTTAACACTACATTTATTGGAATATGTGTAACGTGCCAAATAAACTTCCATTTTACTCACTAGCTGCAGTCTCAATAAATATTTCGATTGGCAATCTAGATCAAATCAACGATATGTCGGCGTCGTAGTGGCCGTGTAGGAATTGATTTTAATTTTTTCATCAAAGAGATTACTTGCAAAGCTGGTGATATGAGCATCAAAAGAGGAATCCTACAGAAAAGAAAAATGTTTGATAATTGATAAAACATTCTAAGTTGATATACTAACCCCTCCCAAATTGGTACTGTGATATTCGGTTTCGGCCTTCAAAAAGGCTGCCACGCCCTCATTGACTTCCGACTTATTCTTGTTGCTAAAATGTAAATCAATATCCTCGTCGATTATTGGCCGGGATCGCCTTGACTTTCCATCTCTGGATTGATGTCTTAAGTCCCTTTCTCGCCCCTCAATAAGATCTTTTTCTTTACGAATCTCCCTACGTTCGTAATCGATCCGTAACTTAATAGCTTCTATCATGGTAATGGGATCCACCGGAAATGGCTTGGCCGGAACAGGTCCAGCAAAAGCGATCTCTCGGGCGTACTCGTTAAAATTCTCACGACCGTCCAGACTATCTTGTATAATGCCCGGACAAAAGCGGTCCTTCACCAAGGTCTCGTGGAACTCATCCTGAATGCGCTCGGCTAGACGATCCTCAGCTTTTTTTGGGGAGTTCACATACTTTAAATATTTAGAAGAATTAAATAACAAACTCACGTGTTTTACTGGGCACTCGCATAGATCGTCCTCCCAAAGAAGTATTACAATTGGTTTTATTCAATGAAGTTTGCTGCCAAAACAAAAATTAATTGTAAAGGAGGATACAAAATTTATAAACATACATTCAAGCACGATCTTTCTGACATAGTTCGGGACATGTCCCTTGGGGTTTGATTTCTTGAGGCAACTGTATTATCTCGGCAGGGAAAGGTTTGCTTTATTTCCAAAGTTCTTTCGCAAGGTGTAGATCTTTGATTACCACAGCTAGGAATGGTGTGAGATGTTTGACTCTGGCAGATGGATTGTGGACAAAGCGGTGTCCGATTCAAAGAGACATCATGATGCATTTCCTCGGACTAGTTAAAAAAGGAGATGAAGTGCTTTTGAACATAAAAATATATGAATGTATGTATAATGAAAGTGGTTATTTAACAAACTTGGATATAGTTGATATACACAAAATAAAACCGGATCTATACTCAAATGTTGCCCCTTACAATAATCATTATAAATGTTAGCATAAGATAATAATATTATAATTAGAAGAGATTTTTATACCCTTGCAGAGGGTATTATAATTTTGGTCAAAAGTGTGCAACGCAGTGAAGGAGGCATCTCCGACCCTATAAAGTATATATATTCTTGATCAGGATCACCTCCTGAGTTGATATAGCCATGTCCGTCTGTCCGTCTGTCCGTCTGTCCGTCTGTCTGTCCGTCTGTCCGTCTGTCCGTCTGTCTGTTTCTACGCAAACTAGTCTCTCAGTTTTAAAGCTATCGAATTGAAACTTTGCACACACCCTTCTTTCCTTTGCACGCAGTATATAAGTCGGAACGGCCGGGATCGGCCGACTATATCCTATAGCTGCCATATAACTGATTGATCGGAAATGCCATAACTCTGCTGTTTGTTAAGTTAGGATGTTGGGACTCTCTATGGGTATTATATTTGGCCAATCAATCCGACGTACCAAATTTCATAAGGATCGGCCGACTATATCCTATAGCTGCCATATAACTGATTGATCGGAAATGCCATAACTTTGGTGTTTGTAAAGTTAGAAAGTTGGGATGTTCTACAGGTTTTATATTTGGCCAATCAATCCGACCTACCAAATTTCATAAGGATCGGCCGACTATATCCTATAGCTGCCATATAACTGAACGATTCGAAATGCCATAACTTTGGTGTTTTTAAAGTTAGGAAGTTTTGATTTTTTATGAGTATTAAGAATGCATCATAGGAATAATTTTGGAGAATATTATTATAGAGAATTCTGCAAGGGTATATCAACTTCGGCTCCGCCCGAAGTTAGCTTTCCTTTCTTGTTTAACTTACGATTTGACATCGATTTTGACTGAGATTCTGTTTCGGCTGCGGGCAATATCTAGCATTTCTTAAAGTCTCAGGCGGCTGCTGATAACTTGTGTTATTAAATCGGGATTCGCACTTATTTTATATAGAAAATAATATATATAAAATAATTTAAAAATTAATTTATAATTTAGCTAACTAACCTGAATTTGTCGTCCCTGAATTTGCGGTGATTCACTCTGTTGTAAAGAGAAAGGAAGTTTTATAGTGATTAAATTAGCTTTGCAATATCAAAACTAACCTGCATTTGTCTACGTTGCATTTCCGGAGTTTGATAATACATTGATTGGCCCGTCTTTTGGGAAAAAACAAAAAAATTAAATTTGTTTCATACATATATAAATTACTTACTCTTTGAGGCTTGCAACTTGTGTTACTGATCTGACAATCAGAAATCTGTTGATGCCGCGGAGATTGCTTTTGGCACTTCCCTACCGATTGCTGGGGACCATCATCATGGCATATTCTTGTACTATTGAGATCTGGTTTCTGTTATATAATTAGGAAAAAGTCACAACAAAATTTTGTTATTTCTTTTAAAGTCACTTACAAATACAATCGGTTCTTCGCATTGCATCCAAGATATATTGGACTGATTTTGCTGGTGTGCCTTCTGCTGCTGAATTTTTTGCAACATCTTTCGATGTCTTTGAAACTCGGCATAGTTCATACCAACTAGGGAGGCATCATCATAATCGGTTGAGGTGTTATTTCTTGAACTGCGATCCATTGTGGTTCCGGGATAAGGATTTCCACCTGGTACATTCAATTCGCACTTTTCGGTATATTATATTATTGGTTTACAAACTATTATAAGATCAGATACTCACAGGATTACGAACAATGGGCTGCTTTAATGTTGTCCTTGTAACCGAGTCCTGTGATTCGTTCTTTTCACAACGATATTTCTATTTAAACCAATAAGACTTACGGTATGCAAAGTGCTATGGTAATCTAACTTATCAGATTTATTCGCTTTATTAGTGGCATTTGATTTGGGGGCGCTTTGGGATCGAGAAACATTACGTTGGAACTGCTGGAATGGGGCGACTGCAGATTGAAAGTATTTTGGATCTACTGGGATTATCTGCTGTGGCAAGAGCTTATCGTTGGAACACTTTAGTAGTGAACTATTATTCGGGCCCTCTTGCAAATTGCAACATTGCTAAAGTTTAGGGGTATAAAAATTAAGAGACAAGCAACTATGGGGACATACTAACATAGTCGTCTACTTTGCTACAAGAGGGTAAAAGCTATAAAAGGAATGAATATTTTATGAAATATTAGGACTATGTTCATAAATATTTTCACCACTTTCTCTGTCATTGAAGTCCCATTCTGACTGCTGGCACTGAGTGTGGATCGATAAAGGGGTTCCTGCGGCGGTTCGAAGGGGTTACGTCGCATTGAGAACGTATTGATTATGGGGCAAGGATCGTAGCTATCGTCGTCACTACTGGGAAAGGTTCTCGGGAAGTTGCCCCTGCTGGGATCTTCGGTTGTAGCTGCTGCGTTCAGTTCCTGCTGGTATCCCAAACAGCGACTGAAGGCCAAAAACAGCTCATCGGGCAGCAGAATAGAATTTCTAACGAGGTCCATTCATGGAACGGAAAAACATTTAGCACCCACACTTCTTAGATATATCAACCATTCTTATTTAAAGCTTGTACGAATAATCGCGTGGCGAATTATACTTACAAAAAACTCTCCGATCAGAATATAGATTTTATAAAATCTGGTATCGTCGTCTGTTAGTGTATGGTAGTGATCAAAAAAATTATTTTCGGCAGTCCAAGTGCAAAATCTTATTTGCATTAACCTTTTAAAACAGGAATTTACATGGTATTAAAAGTAAAAATAGTTTTTCAGTAATTTTGGATATCTTTCTTTGAAAATGTGTGATGCATACATTAAAAGACATTAAAGTCATTGCTTGCTTTTAATTTAAATTTTATAAAATGTGATAATTTCAAATGTTGGTTAGGTATTTCAGGCGAGGTATTTATGTTTAATTAACTATTGGTGGTCAGTAAAGATTAAAGTTCATTATCCTATAACAAATTAATTGACTCGAAGTAAATAACACTTGGTAAAATACACATATAGTAAGAAATCGGTAGCTGTTTTTATTGAGATATAAAAACCTTTCTTTTTAAGAAAAGAAAAAATGTTAATAAATGTTTTTTCTTTTAATAATTACACTTATTGGGAAAAAGCAAATACTTTCGTTTTCATTTTAATATTTATTATTTTACATTTTCTATATAATTTCATATGAAACTTTTTTGTATATCGAAATATATTCTTAGCCAAAATAAAACAATATTGATTGGCTTAATGCGAATTCCCATTTCCCAGCCCCAGCACACGAGATTCGTTTAATTTGCTATTATGCGCCCACTAGCGTCAGCAATCCGATCGGATGCGCCATCCATTATCCTGCAGGACTAATCCCTCATCGCTGTCATCTCGCCGGTGCTCGCTTCCGTTTGTTCATTAGGCAAATGCAGCAATTCCAGTTCCACAAACGCCAAATCGTTTGTCTCAGCCGTATCCGTATCTGTATCCATGATTGTCAGTTGCGAGGAAGGGGAATTGGAATTGTGATGGGAAGGGGCAGGGGAATGGGAATGGGAATAGGAGGGACACCCACATCCGCCTGCCCGCTTCAAGTGGGCGTCCAGCTGTGCCAGGAATGTGGGCGTGGCATGTGCGTTACGCGTGAAATCCAATTCCCGCAAACTGGTCGCCTGGGCGGCAAGGAAGCGGAGGAGTGAGCGTACCGCCTGCGGTCGCTGTGGCATCCACTTGACGCTCCCATCCGCCACATCATAGTGCACCGTCAGCTGCGAGTGCCAGGCGAAGTATTGCAACCGGAATATATCCTCCACGGCAGACACGCCGACGACTGGCAGCCTGTCATCCAGTGGACACTCCAAACGGAGTCCCACAATCCGACAGTTGCCCCGTAACCGAATTTGCTGCAGGCACGCGGACAATGTTCCTGTGGCACTGGCATTTGCTTTGCCATCACCCAGGTGACCCTGCCCCGAATTGCGGCACAGGAAAGCCGTCAATTGGCTGAGGCGAGGCAATTGGAAGATCTCAGAGGCGCTGGCATTTACCATACAGGCTGGCAGTTTTAGTGTTTCCAGGTTTCTGGGGTACTGATACTTCAATTGGCTGCAACTCCTGTTGCGGCGCATTTCAAACGCCCTGAGGTTTTTGAGTTCCTTGAGCAGGAAACCCAGATCGAAGGCTGTTAAGTCCTCACCTTCACCCAAACTTAGGTCCACCAAATTGGGGCACATATGGGGCAGCTTCTGTACCACAAAACTATCGCTTTTGGTGAATGTAAGTCTTGCCAAATGGGTGAGGCCATGCCGCTTTCTTTTGAGCCACTTCCGGCAACCTTCGCCGGTGCCTGGCAGATTAATCAAGGCTTTTGTTCGCCGCCCCAGGTGATCCAATAATTGAGCCTGCTCATCGGGCTTTAGCAGCTTTAGTTGCGGCTCCCGGCGAAAATCGAACTGCTGTGCATATCTGCTGTTCCACAAGCGGAGTACCAAATCGCATAGTCGCACCTCCTGCAGTTCCATCAATCTCAATTGGTCCCCCAGCGAAAGTTGTTCGCAAATCATCAGCAGACAGTCATCGTTCAGTTCCATTAGCCCCCGATTCCGGGGTGGCTCTGCATGGCCTATGGTAATGGCCGTCCTGAAACGCATCCCACTCGATCTGCCTCCTCGGAGTAAGTTCGCCCGACTGAGCAGGAAGCGAGTGGCATGTGGCCGGCCGATTTCTGATCTATATGTGTATGTCTGAGCTGCACTGTCTGAACCCCCGTTGCGGCTGAATCAGTGTCGCCTTCGGCGGTGGCATGCAATCGCAGCTGGCAGTGCGTGCAGCGCATATGTCGCCGTTTCTACAGATTTCCTGGCACAGTGGGTCGCGGAGTAGCGGGAAGTGCTCAAAAAATGGGTACCATATTCATTCATAAATTCTTTTTCGTCGCAAATTGTATTACCCAAATTAATCACAACACAAAAATGTAATACATGATTATTAGTTTGTTTATTAGTTTGTTTATTATATTAGTTTGTTTTTATATAAGTGCTCATAATTAATAGTATTAAGTTGATAAAACCTGTGTAATCGTACAAAAAACTTTGGCTTATTCTATTTTGAGATATAAATAAATTTCTTCATTTATTTCGTTCACTTGATAGAATTATATATATATATAATATATATAATATGTAAATGTATATAAATAATGGAAATTTCTATAAAACTATACGGTTTTTAGTTTCTATTAAAATAATTTCATTACCTAAATGGATATAATTTTCAATGATAAGATAAATCTAAAATTTGTAAAGTAACAAAATATTTTTTGCTTACAGGCCTTTACAAAAACCTGATTTTAAATTAGTTTTTTTTGATAAGACAACTTGTCGAATAATCTAAGCCCACTGCCTAACTGTAAACACCACCCTCTTTGCTAACTACTGGTGGTGGTCGATAAGTGCAACCCCTGACGAACTGTCCGCTGGTAAAGAGAGTTCCCAAAGCGGTTCAGGGTGCGGGCATTCCCCTTTTCCACACTCTCTCCGAGATTGTGCATTATCGCTGGATGAGCGGATGGGATGGCAAAGAACATGGGATATAAGGAAAGACATTGGGAGCGAGTAAGAGAGTTGGTCTATTTTCGTAAATCCCCCGTTCAAAACTCGAACACATGGCCAAGGCCAAGGCGGCGATATGGTATACAAGTTTGAGGAAGGTGGGGAGGTCAAATTTCAAGTGGTACAAAATAACAGAAACCTGGATGGAAACAAATCACAATTGTTCTTTAATACGATAATACGTTTGCCATAAATAAAGAACTGTCACTACCGATCTTTGTACCCTTTGTCGATTACGCCTTCTCTTTTGTTCAGTATTTCCTTGAACATCTCCTAGGCTATGAGTCACATTATCTTATCTAAGTTAAGTAGCGAATAATGGTACTTAAAACCTCTAAAAATATTGGAAATTCGATCGAGAAGTGTAATGTTAAGTTTTCTCTTCAAAACAAAAAACAATTATTTTACGAATTTTGTGTGAAGTTTTTGGTTATAAAAGCAATTTTGTTAGCTTGCATACTAAACCTTAAAATGTAACACATTTTAGTTTTATATCGTTAAATATAAAATTGAGTAGGTCATCACCAAAATTTAGAAAACGCTTTTTATTATACTGCAATGTGGCAATGATTTTTTAAAGTTTAATTATTATTAGTGGTAAAACTTATTATAGTCCTTTGACTCATGAGTCATTTTTTTAAGAAATAGCCCTGACAATTGGATTTGGGATTCAAACAGAATGTTGGGCAATTTGGAACACTAAATCAAAAAAATCTATGTTTGGTTTCGAAAATTATTGGGTAATGTTAAACACGAAACATGGAGAATGTGCGGTCGCAGGATGTGCAAACGACGACGACCTCTCCTCCAGCTGCGATGAGGGTCATCCACCTGGACCTCAACGAGGAGGAGAGTCGCCGGCAAATGGCGGCCAGTAAATATGGTGGCATCTGCTTCCACGTGGGCATAGCGGCCATGCTCTGTTTGATGTTGATAGTGCTGATTTGTTCGGCGCCCATTGGATCAAAAGTGTCCAAACTTTCGGCCGAGGAGCGGTACGCCCGACAACGACAGATGTATGTGGACAAGGAGCGTCGCCTGCGGATGGGCGGCCAAATGGGATTGAGTCCGCTGGAGGAGGAGGCCAATAGTCGGCTAATGGCCGTCAAACAGGTGGACGAAGAAGTGCATCATCTGTGGCAGAACTATCACTCGCAACCGCCGCCGTTTCTCAGCCACCTCAACATCAGCGATACGAATCTCTATGCGGCGCTAAAGAGCATGCCCAAGGGTGGGCTCCTTCATGTCCACGATTCGGGAATGCTGCGAACGGACATCCTGATCGATCTGACCCACCGCGACAATCTGTGGGTCTGTGTGAACTTGGATCAGGGCTTCGAGGACTTTCGCTTCTCCAGATATTTTCCGCACATTCCACCAGCGGGGGATTACCAATGCAACTGGATGCTGATGAGAAACTTCATCGAGTTCGAGCCTCATACCGAATTCGTGGACAGACTGCGGGAAAGTCTCATTGTCCGGCCGGAGGGCTACGAAAGCTCCGTCGAGCTGGCACGGCATTTGAGACGCCATCAGCGTCTCATCCACGGATTGATCACATTTCGGCCAATCTGGAGGGACTTCATATTCACCATGCTGCACGATTTTTACTCCGATGGGGTTCAGTATGTGGAGCTGCGATCCTCGTTGCCAATCGTAAGTGGGGATTGGCCTTTCGATTCATAATAATACTACATCGTACCGTAGTGATTCACATTAGATTTTTTTCCATTCCTTTCTTTTCCGATTGATATTTAATGTCGTAAAAGTTTAGATTTCCATTTAATACTATCAGTAATAGTTCAGTAGTTTTTATATGTCTCAATTCCTATTACCTTATTTTAAAACTAGGAAAAATTTAATCTAAATAATAATCGTGTTGTGTTCTTCAGAAAAATATTGACTCATGCTTATATCATTTCGTTGCTTTAAGAAAATATGTATATGCAAAAAAAGTCCATTGATGTAATCAATATGATCATGAAATATTGTTATGGCACATACAATGGATATTTTCACATAGAAGATATATAAGGTTCGGCCAATGTTATTTCGCATCATAAAGTATTTTTGCGAAACATGCTGTAGTAATATATCTATTCAATAATCGGTTAATACACTTTCCCTGTTAAAAATCCTCGTTTAAATTGTGCTTTATCTAGATGTACGATCTGGATGGCAAAAACTCCACTATTTTGGAAACGGCAGAGGCCATAGTTTCGGTGTCAAATAATTTTAAGGACACCTACAAAGATTTCTACGGAGTCAAGCTGATCTATGCTCCTTCCAGGGACTTTAATGACAGTCGCATGGACGAATATTTAGCAAATGCACGCCTTCTAAAGGTAGTTGGGATCATAACACCGAATACCCACAGAAATCTGACTTTACCTTCTTTCCTGATAGTTTCATTATCCAAATTTCTTTGCTGGTTTTGATCTGAACACCTTTGGGGACGAGTGCAATTTACCGCTTTTGGGCAAGGTCACTCAACTTCTAAGGATCAACAAGGACATTGACTTCTATTTCCATGCGGGAGAATCGAAATGTCCGGACAGTTCACGTCCGGATGCGAATCTCTTAGATGCCCTTTTGCTGGGCAGCAAACGGATCGGGAATTCAGTGAATCTGCCCTTCCATCCGGAGATTATGAAGGCATTGCAAGTCCTCAAAGTGGCTGTGGAGATCTGCCCGCTGTCCAATCATTATCTGCAGTACTTCAACGATTTCCGGCAACATCCGGCGGCGTATTTGATTGCCGCCGGCTTTCCCATTGTGATTGGCTCGGATTATCCGTATTTCTGGAACTCCGCCCCTCTGACCGACGACTTCTATGTGGCCTTTGTGGGCGTGGTCAGTGGGTGGGGCAATCTGCGCCTGCTCAAGCAGTTCGCCCTGAACTCGTTTCTCTACAGTTCCCTCAACGAAACGGAGCGGAATGTGGCCGTAACCAAGTGGCGATGCAACTGGAACCGATGGGTCAGCAACTTTGTGAACAATAGTGGGGTTACGGATACCAACAAGTAAATGATTGTCTACAGGAGATTAAAAATTGGTAGTTTTTTTGGGCAAACAAAAACGTAATATAAGATAAATAAAGACTTGCATGTTCAATCAATGTTGGTTCCAAATCTTGTTTCCCAATAAACACTGATTACACTAATTATTGTATAATGGACATTTTGAAACATGTAGTTATTAAATGCGTCTGCCACGTTTTGAGTACTAAAGTAAATTAAGAGCTTTTGACTCTGCAATAGTTTCTAAAAAGATTTTCCATGCTTTTTTGTAGAAACTTTAGATGGTAAATAGACTTATGTGAAATTAGTGTTAAGTAAGGTTTGTGTATATAACTTAAAAGCAAATATGTAATCTAATCTAATTTTCTTTTGGTCTATTTGGACGCATGCTAATTTATAATTTCTGTTTGAAATTGGTTGGTATTTTTCTTTGTTTAATTTTATTATTGGAGGCGCTTGTGGGAATATGACCATGGGCTTAATTGCACTAGAGGACGCTTTCCGGTTTATCGAGAGTGTCCATAAAGTGACGAACAACGTGGCACTCGAATGTCGGGGATAAGGCCATGGCCAGAGTAAGGAAATCTAATCTCTGGCTACTCGTAAATCAAGATGCCAGATTGGCCGATTGGGGGCGATTAGCTGGTTGGTGGGTTGCCACCCGCACGCGCAATTATCGTTTCGAGATCCCTTCGAACGCGTGTTAAATCAAAGATAATGGCGAACCACAAATAGTTTCAGATAGGGCGCGACATCGAAACCAAAATCGGAGCTCCTCAATCGCCTCAGACGTCAGTCGCAGAGCGGACCTTCAAGCGATCGGACCCAAACGGAATCAACCGCTCATCATGCCGCCCGTCGTCATCCGCCGTAATCTAATCGCCGTGCTGGCGTTTTGCCTGTGCGTCTGTCTTGGTCCGGTGGAATCACGCACTCGGCCGAAGAACCTGGTCGACAGAAAGCTCTTGACGGTCTATGGCAGTTCGCCCCACGTGGAGGCCCTCCTGGGTCCCGGACGTCCCACCCCCGATACCTACAAGACGTTGAGGAGCGCTTTCTTCCGGTACGAGGAGTCCCGATCCCTGGGCTATGACCTCGAGCTAACCAGTCGGGAAGCCAAGGCCAATGAGACCATCATGCAGGCCAAGTTGAAGGAGTACGGAGAGGGTCTAGTCACCCCCCATCTGTTCAAGCCCGCCCAGCATATATTCGATGTGCTGGATGGCATCCGGAACACTGATCTCTTCAAGCTTCTGAAGAAAATGCCCAAGGGTGCCGTGCTCCATGCCCACGATACGGCTCTCTGCAGCACCCAGGCCATCCTCAAGCTGACCTACTACGATAATCTCTGGTCCTGCCAGGAGAATAGTGATCTGGGCTCCTCCGCCCTGAAGTTTTCCAAGGAGAAGCCAGAGGCGCTTAAGGATTGCGACTGGAGTCTTCTGGCCGATGTGCGATCCAAGTACGGAAATGACAAGGTCGACGAGTATCTGGCCGAAAGACTCACCCTGTATCCCACCAAGAAGTTCGAGGACAACAACGCCGCCTGGTCCACTTTCATGACCATTTTCGGTCTCCTCGACGGTCTGGTAATGTACGCCCCAGTCTGGGCGGACTACTACTACAGTGCTCTGGAGGAGTTCTACGAGGATGGAGTGCTGTACTTGGAGTTCCGTTCTCTTGTGCCCACGGTAAGCATTTCTTATACTATTTTAAAATTTTCATTACGGAGAGAAATATTCTTCATTAGAATCCAAGAAATAATAAAGGTAATCTAATCTGCATCAAATTTTGGCATAAAATAAAATTGCGGAGAGTAGTATTCACTAAAATCCAAGAAATAAAAAATAAAAATTCTAACAATAATCTAATTTGCATGAAATGATGACATACAATAATCTTAAGAACCAAAAGGGGTAAAAAACTTGATTCTTATAATAAAAAAAATTGATTATCAATATCACGTGTGGGTTTTTACTAAATATTTTAATAATATTCGTTTTTCTTTCAGCTCTACGACTTAGATGGAACTGAGTTCACTCCCATGGATACAGTGCGTATTTATGTGGAGACCCTGGAGAAATTCAAGGAAGCTCATCCAGATTTTATTGGTTCCCGAATGATCTACGCACCCATACGTAACACCAATTCAGAGGGAGTAAATGCCTATATCAAAACGCTAAAGGAGATAAAGGTAAGGTTACTTTGGCATATTATTATTAACATATTAAGTATTATATTGTTATAATTTTCACAGGAAAAATACCCCGACTTTGTGGCTGGATTTGATTTGGTGGGCCAGGAGGAGATGGGACGCCCGTTGAGGGACTATATCGATGAGCTACTGTCCATTCCCGAGGATATTGACTTCTATTTTCACGCTGGAGAGACAAACTGGTTTGGGTCTACTGTGGATGAGAATCTGATCGATGCTATTTTGCTGGGCACGAAGCGTATTGGTCATGGATTTGGACTGGTCAAACATCCCGTGGTCCTGGACATGCTGAAGAAACTGAATGTGGCCATCGAAGTGAACCCGATTTCGAATCAGGTGCTCCAGCTGGTCACGGACTTCCGCAACCATCCCTGCTCGCACTTCTTCGCCGATGGGTATCCGGTGGTTATCTCCTCGGACGATCCGTCCTTCTGGAAGGCCACCCCGCTGACGCACGACTTCTACATTGCCTTTTTGGGAATCGCCTCGCAGCACTCCGATTTGCGTCTGCTGAAGAAGTTGGCCCTGAACTCCATCCAGTACAGTTCACTGACGGGAGACGCCCAGTTCGAGGCGCTGGAGAAGTGGCAGGTGAAGTGGGACCAGTTCATCGCCGACGTGAACGAGGAGGCCTCCAACCGGGGAGCTCCCAGCCTGAAGATCGATTGACTAGCACGGGTGGTGGCAGCGCTACTGGTCGCGTTCTCCCTATTGACCTCTGACCTTTGGCGCTAGTCGGAAATTACCCCCTCCGCCTGCTGCACCTACCACTCCACTCCAACTCGACTCCCGGCCGCAGCGGGTCCAACATTGCATCCTCATCCGCATCCAGTCAGAACCATGTCCATGTCCACATCCTCAATATCTAACCAATTGTTTTAAGCTACTTGTTATCGACTAGTCCTTAGTTAGACCTAGACTAATACTTGTCTGTAAACCCATGAGATTCTGTGCCACGGCTCTCAAACGGTCAAAGGCTAAAAACCCGAAGAAAACGAAAGCAATAAAGAACCCGTTTTAGTCGCAGCCGAAATAAGAGTGCCTGCAATTTATGTTCAGAGCTCAAAGAAGCCTGAGCGTAATCGTAATGAGTTAGCCAGCCAAGCGGCTTCGAAACACTCAAGGATGTGAACGTGAGGTGGAAAATAATGTTAAAAGCATTCTTAATGATTTTAAACCATCTACCGAAAGTATAAAGACATATATAACTTTACATATATTTAATGAAAAGGCGAAATATGGCACAGATAATTTTTAACAACCACACACCAACTAAAGAACTTATAGTATCAATTTTGTTGAAACATCCGGTTCATAACTCATCTTTCTTCAGCCACTAAGCAAAAGGGTTAATATACCCTTTCTTAAATTAAAATAGGCTACTTTTTCTCCTTTGTATCTCCAATTTATAGCTTTGCATCTTTTTACCACCCATAATCCAGAATTTGTAGTCACGTTGCCATCTCCAACGGAGGAGTGCACTCGAGGCTTCGCCCGCATAAATCTCTCATTGCCTTTGGCTGCGTCGAGTACGCAGAAAAGTGGATGCGAATTTTAATGAATATGCGCTATATGGTCGTTGAGGCCACGACCACCCATTACCACCCATCACTCAGCCTCCTTTGAGCTGCGGATCGAGCCATCCGAATGCTGCAAATGTTTCAATTTTACGTGCCACTGTTTAGTGCTGCGGCTGCCGGCACAGGATTCGATTTTGATTCGGCTAACGCCCGTAATGAGCTGGCGGAGTTTTATGGGTCGGCGGCGGATGCAGTCGGGTTCGGTCCTGCAAACATGTATGCGACCATAAAATTGATGGGCCAGTGTAAGTGTGTGTGGATAAGGCATTCAGTGCTGACAGCTCTTCCTAATCTGCAAATGTAGTTTAGTGGGAAAAAGCACAAGAACAAATTATTTTCTTTTGGAATTAAAAAAAAAAATTAATTAAGAATACGTCTTTATTATATTCAATACCAGAAATAGGAACCCAGGAATGACATTATTTTCGAATCAATATTTTTTATTTTATATGTTACATTTTTATTTTAATGACATTCCAAAATACCTTTTATTATATATTTGAATTCCGTGAAGGTAATATTTGAAAGATATAACATTTGAATAAATGACTTGAAAAATTTCTTCTGGAATACTGAACCTCTTAGCCTCTTGTAATAGTTTTGGCGAATAAATAGCTTATCCGACAGCGCTAATGCTATATCTACTGCCGCCCTTGGCAGCCTCATCAATTTGATGTCGTGCACATTTAATGTGGTGTTGAGGGCGCGCGGATGCATAAAAAACCAAAGTCCGCGATCCAACGAGGCCCATAAATTACTAATAAAAGCCGCATGTGTGTGTAGTTGACGGGGTCGCGGCTTTAGTGTGTTAAAGCGGAAATGCGTTGGGCGCCATTTTGTGCGTGGGGTTTGGGTGGATTGGCGCTAACAAATGTGCGGCCTATTGACACATTCGGCGTGACACATTTCGTAGGGTAAATAAATTGAGTAAATCACATGTTTGGCTAACGAAATCCCAACCAAATTCTCCATGAAACCCTTGCCCAAAAGGAGTGGTGAAGCAAGGGAACAAGAGGAAATATGAGAGCCATGAAATGGGTTCGCCAAGCCTCGACCAAATGCGAAACGATTCGGCACTCCACGGCATCGGTGATACGGTCCCTGAGGAAGCTCACTCCGACGGCCTTCATGACACTCCGCCGGGCAGTCGCCAAGGTGGAGCACTTGGGCATCATGGGTCAGAAGCTTAGGCTGAACGATCGGGAGCTGGAGGCCAACAAGATGATAATGGCCGTCAAGAAAGAGGAGATCTCCAAGGGCATCCTGGACCCCACTAAGTTTACACCAGGTCAGCACATCTTCAAGACCCTAACCGAGATCCGCAAGTCGCCGATCTTCAATCTGATCAAGCGGATGCCCAAGGGTGGAGTGCTCCATGCCCACGATACGGCGCTCTGCAGCACGGAGTATCTCATAAGTCTGACCTACCGCGAGAATCTCTGGATTTGCACGATGGATGAGGGCTGCAAAGCGATTGCCTTTCGCTTTTCCAAGGAAAAACCCACTCACAAGCCCATGGAGAAATGCAATTGGGAGCCCATGGCAGAGTTCCGAGATCGGCGAGGCGAAGATAATGTAACCCGGTATTTCAAGCGCCGCTTCAGCATGTATCCTTTCTCAAAATTCATTTCGAATAATCAAGCCTGGGCGCACTTTATGGGCATATTTATTCTCCTAGACGGCCTGCTCTGCCACGCCCCCGTTTGGGCTGACTACTACTATAACGCCCTCAAGGAGTTTTCCGAAGACGGGGTACAATATTTGGAACTGCGATCCCTGCTGCCACCACTCTACTGCATCGATGGCGATATGCTCACTATCCGGGACACGGTGGCCATTTACCAGTCAGAACTGGAACGCTTCAAGGCCGACCATCCAAATTTTATTGACTCCAAGCTGATCTATGCCCCGCTCCGTGGTGTGGAACCCAGTGTGGTCGAGCAATATGTGAAGACAGCAGTGGAACTTAATGTAAGATTGATGATTAAGAACAAGCTTTACTACCTTTAAGTATCTGTAAGACTGTAAAGTTAATTTGCAGAAGATACTGATTTGAGATATAGCGTTTGACTGTATTTCATTTATTTAATAGATTTTTATTTGCAGTGCAGTTTAAAAAAACCAAACCAAAATAACATCAGATATTCGACCCGGGAAGTTTCTTCTAACTATTCATATTTTCAATTAATTCTTAATTACCATAAATAAATAAACTGTCTAATTTTAATAAAATGCTTGAAAAATGAACACAAAAAAATAATACAAAATTTTCTTTTACTATTTTAAACATGGTGGACACTAAAGTTACAGTTTTCCTTTACCTTTACAGAAAGAATTTCCCAACTTCATGGTGGGTTTCGATCTGGTTGGTCAGGAAGAGCTGGGACGACCACTAAAGGATTTTGTGGAGCCCCTGCTCAAGATGCCCGAACACATAAACTTCTACTTTCACGCCGGCGAGACTAACTGGTTTGGATCGCCCATTGACGAGAATCTGGTGGATGCCATACTGTTGGGCACTAAGCGAATCGGCCATGGATTCGCCCTCACCAAGCATCCGATGATGATGCGGCTGGCCAAGCTGCTCGACATTGCCATCGAGGTGTGCCCCGTGTCCAACCAGGTGCTCCAGCTGGGCGTGGACTATCGCAACCACCCGGCGGCGCTCCTTTTAGCCGCCCATGTGCCCGTCGTGATTTCCTCGGACGATCCGTCCTTCTGGCGCTGCGCACCGCTGTCCCACGACTTCTACTTCGCCTTCCTGGGCATTGCGCCGATGAAGGCGGACCTGAGGTTCCTCAAAAGCCTGGCCATCAACTCCATCCGGTACAGTGCCCTGGCGGGCGAGGAGAAGCGGGTGGGCTACGTCAAGTGGCAGAAATTGTGGGACAAGTGGATCGAGGACGTGGTGGAGCAGAAGTGTAGTAGTTAGCTCATGTACCTTCCAAATCAATAACACACTAGTAAATATGTATTATATTCTCGCATTTTATTTATTTGAATTTCGCCTGCACACGGATAACTCTGACGCTAGCTAAGAGTTGACTTACATCGATACAATTGATATGGGTGATGGCTAAGCTTCGCTCGTCACATGACCTAAATCAGAGAACTCGTTTCGGGATATTTTCGGGGGATATGTGTGGTTGAGGGGGCATAACGAAACTACGACCAGGAGCCATCTGTTAGCCATATAAGATGCGATAGCCCTGGCCTTGTCCATTTACATCCAGCTAAATTCTTTGTTCAAGCAGAGTTTTAGGCATACGTGTAGATCTGAATACAAGTGAGTATATAGCACAGTTATAACTTGAATGCACACGAATTTAGCATTTTGCTCATTTGGTTTTGAATTGCTTAAGCCTTTTACTTCTATGTCTTTAAAAATTATTATTACCATATACGTTATTATTGGGCAGCAGCATTCCATTCAAATGATTTTCTGAAAATTTTTCTTTACCTTTTTTTTTTTCTTGCGTTTTTGTGTATAGATGCTTGCAAAAATATTTGTAATATTCGGCCTGTGTTTGTTGTTTGCCCTTGGTTTAGCACTAACCCTATCGTTCACATACCTAAACTTACTGCCTCGATATGTTCAAATCCTAAGTATAACTTGCATCGCCTTTCCAATTTTCCTTTACAATCTTAACCATCCATGGGGCCTTAAGTATCGCTATGCTGTACAAATCTTAAACTCTACTCTCTTCTATATCTCTGCCCTCGGCCGATCGAGTTTTACTTTATGCGTGGGAATTGTGTACGCTATGTGAGTTGCTGCCAGTGCTGTTGATGTTGCTGCTGTTGTTGATGTTGCTGCTGCTGTTGATGTTGCTGCTTCTGCTGATGTTGCTGCTGTTCTTGTTGCTGGCGAAGTTTTTCGGCCTTCCAACTGGATTCGCCCACACTCAGTGGATAGGGTATAATATCCGGCTGTTGTTCCGAGGACATGTTGTCCACATCGTTGTGGTCGATGTTGTTGCTGTTGTCGGCCACATCCTCTTCGTTGTCATTGTTGTTGCCGACGTTGTTGTTGGTCGGCTCATTTGGTTCGCCATTAATTCCGTGGTTCCGGCCTTGGTTATTGTTTTTGTAATTGTAATAACCATATTTATTTGTGTTAGACAAATTGTCGTTGGTGTTGCTGCTCATGTTGCCACTGTCGGCGTTGCAATTCTGGGGGTCAGAAAAAAAGAGAGAACGAGGGAAACCAATATGAAATTTTAATATTAATTTGCGAAAATATATATTTGGTTTTCGCGAAAGCTTAATTAAATTCTTGTCACTTGTTTTATTAAAAAATATTTGGAAATTTTAAATGTTAACTCACTGCAATAATTTAACTCTCATTACTTAATTTCTTACACAGATAAAGAAAATATTTAAATATAAGAATTGTCTTAAAATTTGTTCTACATTTGTATAGAAATCTTAAAAAGTACAGTACCTGGAGTATTTGCAAGCCTTATACTTAAATATTTTTTGAGTATTCCTATACTTTATTATTTTTATTCGATTTCTACTGTATTGATATAATATATTATCGCTATTGTTTATAGATTATTTGTCTTGGTCGATTTATTCGAGTGGTTCCTGCATGTGGGGCAGATAAGGTACCACAAGAACCGCAAAATGCACTTGAACTGCTGTAACTATTGCAAAAATTACACAAGCAATTGTTTTTAAAGAAAACAAATAATAAAAGCAATTATATATAGGCATTGAGTGACAAAGGAAAACAATGATTTACCAACATTTGATATAAGTGGTCTTTCAACTTTAAAGAGTAAACATGTTTAGATAAACATTAAACTTTGGGGGAAAAATTTAATACTAAACATTTTATAAAGAACATAAAATGGGTCATATGAACAAAGTGCAAGCAAGGCTATGGGCTTTTTTTATAAAACAAATAGGGTCAATGTCAAGACAGATAATAGAAACCGCAATTCGGCTAATTAGATAGGACGCTTGGTGTAAATCGTGCCTATAAAAGGCTGCATTTACGTGCATTAGATCGCAATTTGCATTTCTTAAATCACAAGAATAAATCAAACCATGAGTGCCTGTACAGAAGGAACTGCTTTCGCAAAAACCAAGGAGACCACCAGGATCGTGATCATCGGAGCCGGAGTCTCTGGAATTGCGGCTGCCACTAGGCTTTTGGAGCAGGGATTCAAGAACGTGCAGCTTTTCGAGGCGGAGGATCGCATCGGAGGTCGCATCAATACAATTCCCCTTGGAGGTAGCTTTATCGATCTGGGAGCTCAATGGTGTCATGGGGAAGAGGGAAATGTGGTCTTCGAGAAGGTTAAGGATCTGGATATCCTTGATAGGTCCGGTGACTATGCCGTTTCTTTTATCCGTTCCAACAAGGAAATTCTCACCGATGATCAGACGAAGGTTATAAAGAATTTTTTCGACGAATTTGAAGTGGCCCCCGATGCTGAGGGTTCCATTGGCGAAGCCCTCACCCAAAGCTATTGGAAGAAGGTGGACCAGCAGTTAGTACCTATGGATAGGACCATTGCCAAGGAAGCTCTGGACTGCCTGAAAAGGCACAAATGCAGTGAGGATGCCTGCGATCACTTGTTCGAACTATCGCTACGAAACGACCTGAATTATGAACTTGCGGGCGGCGATCAGAATCTCAGCTGGCGGCAAAAAGGCTACTGGAAGTTTTTGAGTCTACTGCTTAATGCCAAGGAGGATCAGCCCGGTGATCAGGGGATCCTGAAAGGACACGTCCACCTCAACAAGCGAATTGCTGAGATCAACTGGGCAAGAGACGGTGAACTGGCCCTACGCTGCTGGAACGGTCAACTAGTCTCAGCGGATCACGTGATCTGCACTGTCTCGTTGGGAGTTCTCAAGGAGAAGCACCAGAAGCTCTTCGTGCCAGCCCTACCAGCTGACAAAGTCAGGTCCATTGAGGGTCTGAAACTAGGCACCGTGAATAAGTTCATCTTCGAGTTCGAGGAGCAGCCAATGCCGGAGCAAATGAGAAGCTTCGCTTGCCTTTGGCTGGAGGAGGATCTCAAGGAGCTGCGAGATGGGCAGTTCTTCTGGCTGGAGAGCATCGTCGGCTTCCATCGCGTAGACCGTCAACCCCTTTTGATGGAGGGTTGGATCATCGGGGCTCATGCCCGGTATATGGAAACCCTCAGCGAGGAGAAGGTCCTCGAGGCTCTGCAGTGGCTCTTTAGGAAGTTCCTCAACTTTACCGTGCCCCATCCCAAGCACTTTTTGCGCACTCAGTGGCATTCGAATCCGAACTTCCGTGGCAGCTACAGTTTCTATGCCACCTATGCTGATGAACTTCGAACGGGACGTACGGATTTGGGGTCACCATTGATGAATGTCTCAGGAAGACCGAGGATTCAGTTCGCCGGAGAGGCTTCCAGCCGGAACCACTTCTCCACGGTCCATGGAGCCACTGAGTCGGGATGGCGCGAAGCTGATCGTCTCAATGAATTCTACAAGGGACGAGCTGAAAACTAACATAATATCTAAACTACTCAATTGGAGTAAAGTTTTCTTATTCCGTATAAACATTTTATTCGAAATTTAGTAAGTCGCATCAATAATACTAACAAAATATTTGTATATATTTGGTTCTTCATTTCTTATTCACAATTCAAAAATCAATAAAAATTATCAAACAAAAAAGCACCCAACAAAAACCAATCTTTTATTACCTTAAAACCCAAGCCACAATATCTTTACTGAAAACGCCTAGTGTAAATATGGGTTTAACTTACTACCTGAAATCTTAAGGGATTTAGCATTGGTTGGTTTGAAATCACTTGCTTAACTATTGTTGTTTCTGGGTAAGTTTAATCATATTTCATTAACAATTCTTTCAATCGCTGCTTATAAGCTGGCTTAAGTACCTCTTCTAAAATAAGAAATACTTCTTGGCAACTAAACTGTGACTCCTCGTTAGGTAACATTATCTCTTGCCATTTCAGCACCCAATTGAAATTCCTGTGTAAATAGCACAACTGAAGACAGAAATATAAATTAAAGGAATTTAATCTAGTCAATGGAAGGCTGTGCCATCATGCTTTTGCACGGTGAAATCCCAACTAAGCCCATTTAATCCCGTCGCAAGTGAGTTAGTTGTACAATTAAGCCCAATGTTCCACTCCCAGCTATGTCAAGAGTGGCCAGCTCCAACTGACAGCCACTCACTATCCCCTTCTCGGCGAGCATCCAACGTCGCCATTGCAATCAGCAAACACAGAGAAATACTTTGCCAGTCATAACAACCATTACCTGGGCCATAACACAAGTCCGGCCAAGAACAGGAACAGGACTACTGCTCTGCCGGCTAGGCAAATGTGTGTCCTTTGGTCAAACAGAGACTTGTTTAACATTGTCACTCGAGGAGTCACGAGCACGTGGACGAACATGCAGACACTGAGAAAAAAACATCTTATGCAACTACCGTTTCGTGCTCAAAATTTACGAACAGTAGCTATAATCCATTTTTAATTTTTCGGTAATGTGCCAAATATCTGCAGAAATTTTAAAGACTGTTTCTGGTCCGACTCAATGCATAACATTATAAACTTCAATTTTGTTATTCTCAACAACTATCTATCAATCAATACATAACATTATATACCTAAATTGTTTTATTCGGAACAACTATCAAAGGTCTTGAAAGATAATTACTTTTTATTTTAAGTCCTTTTTAACTTATAGTCAATTAAAATTTGGAGTAAAATAATGTTTAAGTCTAAATACTTTACTATATTTTTTAATCAATAGCATAGTTTTTTGGTTTGAATAATTTGGTTCTTTGACAAACATTTTGTAGTCCTATACAGACTATTTGTATATAATAAAATATAATAAATCCTAAAAAAATTAATAAGTGTTGCTAAAATTTTTATTTTCTTGTCTTTCAGAGAAGGAACATTTTATTTATCTTGTGTTTAATGGGACTAGTTTTCTGTCAGTGTAGAGCTACAAAAAAACCACGTATCCGGCTGGCTAGACACTGAAGGCAACGGAACCAACGAGTGCCGCTCCTGCAGCGCATTAACCGAGGGATCGGCACTGGGATTGGAACACGGAATGGGGCAGGTTCAGCGGAAAAGCTACAACAGATGTGGCCAACTTGTTGTCGGGCTTTCCTTCTTTCGACTCGAAGGGCGACAAAGTCGCATATGTAATTGGGTGGTGGCGAAATTGGGGGATGGGCGATAAACTAGGAGAAGGATACGAGTACGACCACCAGGGCGACATGCAAACAAACAAACAAATGTAAACACACAAAGGCAGAAGGAGTATACACAGAGAGAAAGTCTTTTGTAATAAAAATACTTCGATACTTCAATAAAAACAATTACGTTGAATTATAAATTAAATTAAATTTAAAATTAAATATTAAATCGTTCCTATCAACAGAAATCATGTTATTTTACAAAGAGTATATGTTTGTCAAAAATATTGGTTCTATTTGTACTAAACATACAGATTGCTTGCTACTTTTAGATCCAATTCCAGCTTTAAAAACATTTTTCTCTCTTTTTTTTTTGTTAGGTATTGAATGGGAAAAAGGAGAAGGATAAAGCAGAAGAGATACATGGGAGCAAGGATATTTTGAATGTTTTGGCCCGGGCTTGGCATAAATTTGAATTTTCAACATGGGCAGCCAAAGTGCTTTTGCAGTTTCTGCCGGACGGCAATTGCTGGGGCATTTCGGCAGGGAAATCACATGGCCAGTGCTTCTGAATCTGCTCCTGATTTCGCCCATGCTCCTGATTCCTGGCTCCTGTTGCCCTGTTGTGGTTTTTGTGGCCATCCATGGCTGGTCTGGTCTGGTTTGGTCTGGATGGCCTTTGGGTTGTGTTTTTGCTGCACCAACTACTGGGTATGTGCTAAACTGATTTCAGCTTTCCCTATTCCGCACGTAATCTGAACTTTTGCATGTGTGAGACCTCAGTGGCCACGCCCACTGGCCACCACCCACTCCCCTTTTTTGGATCAAATGCTTGCAAATGTTCCGAAAAACAGGCGCAATTACAATGTTGTTTGCTGCTCGCTGCAAATGAGTTGGTCAACATGTTTGGCTTTTATTTCAGTTTTTTTACGAATGCGTTTGAATTTTGTTTGCAATTGCAAGTCTTTAAATTTAAAGAACTAGACTCAGATATCGAGATTTTGTGACTCGGTCAGGCCACAGATAGGCAAACCCATAAGAAAAACTATTTTGTGTCTGCGTCATACATTAAAATTTGCCGTAAAATATAAATAAACTGTGAAAAGGCAGTAAATTGATTTTCAAGCACAAATAGAAGCTTACATCACATTGAATATTAAGTTTCAATGCAAAGCACTGAATTAATAACTTCGTTTAAATAATATATGCACATGACATTTTTAGATATTAGCTTATCTTATAATAATAATAAAACTATATTGACTGTTAATAAACTACAAGTAAAATTTTAAAACAAATTATATCTTATCTAGCCAAATATATAAATTTTACTTCGAACATTACCAAAGTTCCAAGAACTTTTGCTTTAAAATCAATATTTCGTAAATCAAATAAATTACGGCACAAAAATCAAAATTAGTTTGGCTTACTATAAATAAAAACAAGTTTTATTTGGGTCCGAATACGGTTTTATACACATTTCTTATATTTATCAATGCAAAATAGTCTTGGGAAGAGTTAAATATTTATTTCTTTCTAAGATTCTATTACATCTCTACACACTTTAAATGGCAATAAACGGAGTACTTAAATAAAGTTAGTATATTATGTTTTCGTGCCCCATGGGCTGTGACCAATCTCGATGCCACGCTTTTGAAAGCTGTCAACCGGAGTCACTAGGTGTGAGCTCACAACTGAGCTGTTCGCGACCGGTAGTAGAGATGCAATCGGTCCGCCTCACGCCATCCCGTTTCAACGGCTCCGTGGACCGTGGAGTAGAAGTGCTTGTGAGAGGCTTCCCCGGCGAATTGTAGGCGTGGCCTACCGCCCACATCCTGGAGCGGTGCCTCCAGATCCCAGGCACCCGTCCGCAAAGCCTCCGTGTAGGTGGATCGGAAGGTGTAACTGCCCCGGAAGTTGGGATTCGCATGCCACTGAGTGCGCAGCATTCGCACTGGGTGTGCCACCTCAAAGGGCAGGAATTTGCGGAAGAGCCACTGCAAACCCTTCAGGACCTTCTCCTCGGACAGTGTTTCCATGTGTCGGGCATGTGGTCCAATAATCCAGCCCTGCAGGATACGTGGCTGCTGGGAGACTGGGTAAAATCCGAATACACTTTCCAGCCAAAAGAGCTCGGAAGCTCGAAGTTCCTCGAGATCCTTCTTCAGCCAGAGGCAGTTAAAACCAGGCCAGTCTTGGGGCAATTGTGGATTTTCAAATTCCAGAAAGAACTTGTCCACGGTGCCCAGTTTGAGACCCTCGATGGCCCTCACTTTGGCCGCTGGCAGGGCGGGCACAAAGAGTTTTGGATGCTGTTCCTTTAAAACTCCCAGGGAAACGGTACAAATCACATGATCCGCGGTGATGACCTCGCCATTCCAGCAGCGCACGGTTAGCTCATCGGCTCCTTCCCAATTAATCTCAGCAATCCGTTTGTTGAGCAGCACATGTCCCTTAAGAATGCCAAGATCATCGGGTTGATCCTCTTGGGCCTTTATGAGCAGCATCAAGAATCTCTTATAACCCTTGTCCCGCCAATTGAGCAGCAGTTCACCCTCACATAGCCAGTACTCCAGGTGACCCTTTCCGGAGACTTCGAACAGGTGATCCGCCGCCTCCACGGAGGCCTCGAATTTGTGGAAAACCTCCAGGAACTCCTCGGCAATGGTGCGATCAATGGGCGGCAGTTTCTCCAGTTCTTTCCAGTACTTCAAATTGATGTAGTCACCCAGGGAGCCATCGAAATTCAAGAGCTCTTTCTGCCTGTCTGGTATCGAGCTATCAGCTATGCCCTTAAGTTGATCTGCTATCTCATCGGGCAAAACCTCTCTGTTGGAACGCACACACTTGTAGGTTTCGTAGTGGCGATCTGTAACCTCTAGAAGATCCAGATCCTTGACCTTATCGTAGACCACATTTCCCTTCTCGCCGTGGCACCACTGGGCGCCCAGATCGACGACATTATCGGCAAAGGGAATCGTGTGGACACGTCCGCCAATTCGATCTTCAGCCTCCAGGAGGAGAACATTCCGGAATCCCAGATCCAGGAGACGGGTGGCTGCAGCTATTCCGGCGGATCCAGCTCCCACGATCACAATGCGAGCGGTTTGTTTGGTTTTACTCAGCAGACGCAAAGACGCTGAACTCATGGTGAGGGAAATATGGGTATTTATATTTCTTATAACAACCGCACGTGTTTCACCTCCGACGTTCGGCACAAAACTAATCGGATTTATTCACTTTCACCCGCTCTACTCGTATTTTGTATAGTTTCTGCCCGCTTCTTTCCTATCTCTGAATATTTATGGGTCTCTGCGATAAGAGGCAACCCAATGATAAGGCGGCTTTCATTGTTGCCCGACCAAATTGGTGTTATGTCAACGCAATTAAACCGAGAATAAAGCAATTGACAGGCTTGCAATACAGAATCGGCATAGAATCAGTCTCTTAAGAGAGCGGAAGAGTAGAAAAAATACGCACCGCTACTAATCAAGAGAACGCTCTCTTAAATTTCACTCTTTGCACACAGACTAAAATAACATTTGCTTTTCAGCATTTCACATTTATCAAATTACCATAAAAACATAATGTTTGCATATTTGATTGTATTTTAATGTGGTTTCTGTAAAATTTGTGTTCAGTTTATTATAAAATACTTTATAAAGAATTATGTTATCCATCTTGACCATATATTAACATTATTAATTGTATACTACATATAAACAATATTGACCACTAAATTAAAACAGATGTCAATTTATATTAAGAAATAAATTGTTTATTTATCTTTAAATATTTTAAAGTATTTAAAATAAAAAAAATTAAAGTCAATTAATTTTAAATATTTATATTTTATATTATTTTTTTATCAAAATAAAAAAAACATTTTTCGCTTTGAATTGAAAAATGTCATTGATATCAAAAATGAGGTGGTAGAAAGTTGGTTTTGATTTGTATTTTAAATTGATAACAGATTCTTAATATATACTATTTAAAATGTCGATAAATGGAATCTCTTTTTTTTATGGCATAAGCCATTTTTGGTCGTGACAATAGTATCATTCTTCAACAATTGACTATCTTAATAGTCATCTCTTTAAAAAAAAACAATTCATAGCTTACAAACGAAAACCAAAACAAAAGCCTAGCTTCGGGCGCACAAACAATCGCACGCACCCCCCCTCCCGCAAAGCGTTTTAAGCTTGCCACCCGAATGTATGCAACAAAATGTTTTCGTTCGGTTTGCCAGTGGCGCTGTGAGCGAGCTCCTTTGATGAATGTATTCATAAAAATCCAATCATTGCAATTGCACAGCGCATACGGGCGGCGAAGGCAAAGGCATTCAAGATGAATTCGCCAAAATAATGGGAAAACACAACAGACAGCTGGGCGCAGCCAACTTCCGTCCTTCCGTCCTTCGGCCCTTTCCCACCTCCCACCCCCACCATCATTTGTCCGCAGGGCCGGGGGATTGGGAACCCCCCTCGCAACCAAGCAGTCAACAAAAAAATTGCAGCAATAATTTTTTTCGGAAAACAAAAACACATTTGTGCATAGACTGGGAAAATAACCAGAGCTGAATACAATTTATTGGCAGGAAAGAACTAGTTGATACTCAGTCACGCAAAATATTTTAAAAAGTAGGAAAGTGTTTTCATTTAAGATGTTATTTTTTAAATAAAATCTACTTATTTTTAAATATATCCAAAATAAAATGATGTGAATTTTTAAAAAATTAAATTTTGATGAGCTGAGATGCAGAAGGTATAACATTCAACAATTTAACAATAATTTGATAAACTAACAAGATTAATAAAAAAGTTTACTGACAATGATTTCTTATTATAAATGATTTTATTTCGCAGCCCAACAACCGTAAAAGCTAAACTCCCCGCTATTTAAAGGGTATTGCCTAAAGCCTGAACGTTCGCAACAACAAAAGATGCGATTAAAATGACAAGTGAAAGCAATTTTCGTGCATCTGGTACGGCAAGTGCGGGGAGGAGAGATGTAAAGGGAGAAAATGATTGTCGAGGTAAGGACACAACCCGAATGATTGCCTCGAATGGCATGCGAATACGGTTGGCCAGAGTAATATGACATCGTTTATGGGCCTGCTGCTGCCGCAGGAACTACGAAGACAAGCCCAAAACCCTACCCCTCTGGTACTCACATTCGTGCTGCATTCGCATTTCAGTATCCATTCTACGGCAATGAATTTATTCTCGATTTGTATCTGATGTGATTGCAGGAATTCCTGATCGATTGGCTCCAAGGCGACCGTATCCCATAACTGTGCATTCTCTAGCACCTTGTCGTCCTCCTCCTCGTCGTCATCATCATCATCATCATCGTCATCATCTTGGGGCTCCTTCAACTGCCTTTTTCTGCCCATTTTCCGTCGCTGTATGTAGTTAATTGGATCGACAGCATTTAAAGGACACAACAGCTCAACCTGAAGCAGCACAAAAAATAACGAAAAGGGGAAAAGAGAATCATTGTAAAAAGATTGAAGATGTCAGGAGCTAAAATCTCGGCTGTGAGGATTTCCTCTTTTTTTTTTGCAAAAATTTCAATTGGTAGAATGTGAACGGGAGACCGGGTGTTAAATTGATTTTGACATCTGGGTTGCACTTGACTTTTAATTTTACTGCCATTTTCCATTGACACTTGCAAATTGACGTTTTAATGCAATTTGCTTTTAATTAAAAGTAAAAGGCAGCAAAAGGCAGGAGCCAATAAACTAAAAAACAACGTCATTGTAAACTTGACTTCTGGTTATAACCGGCAGGGGCTATCCTGGCAATTAAATATTGAGCTATCGAACAAATGTGTGTGTCTGTTTTGGAATGCGCATAAATAAATTTTGAACAGGTTAATCGCGGTGAACCGCAACATAAATCCCAAAATAAATAAATAATGAAGAATGAATAATATATCATAGGTATAATTATGCAAACAAATTAAATTGACGAATAATATTTTATTGCATGGATGGCTTTTAGTATGAAAAAGGAGTTTCCATTTTATTTAGTTGGATACAAAAGAAATTTGTATTACCTATTTTTTCGTTATAAATAAATTAACTCTATGCTGCAAACCTTTACCTATTTCTATTATTTTATTGATATTTTGGATGAAATGCATTATTTAGGATGTACTACATTTGTTTTAAGCACAACAAAATTAAAGCCAGCTTTATGAAGACTTGTTATTAAAATTCTTGCAGTATCTAAAATCCAGGGTATCATTGGATTTTAAGGCTCTCACTAACACAATAGAAGTGTATTTTAATGGTTGTTGATGGGATTGCTTTTAAACGAACGGTAATTTAATTGAAAACGACAAATAACTAGCAACAAGCAAGGATGCTGGGAATGCAAATTTCTGCAAACTGCAAAAAGGGGAGCAAGAATGAAGAAGAAAGAAAAGTAGGAAACTCAATCCGCGTGGATTTTCATCTCCTCCTTAGGCGCCAGGTGGTGGGGCTTTAAGCTCAGCCCGTCTTACTGCAGTTGCCACTGTGCAGGTGCGGAATATATCCCGGGAATCGCATTTTCCACTTACCTGTATCGTGGTGGACACCGCCGGGGCACAGCACTTGACCCCGCGGTGGCAGCGGCCACACAGTTTCGGTCGATACAGCTTTCGCGAGACGCACTCTCCAAGGCGAATCCTGGCAGGACCCAGGCGCTGGATGCTCCGGCACTCGTGGCCCTTCTACGGCGGAAAATCGAAAGAAAAATGGGCAATACGGAGGAATATTAGTGATTCACCTTTAAAAAACAATCATATACAAAGATAGCTAGAGATCTCGTTAATAAACCAACCTTTAACTTAAATAAATGTATTGTTACCTTTGTTAAAGATATTTTACTAATCATTCAAGTTTTAGGAAACAAAAGGTTTTTATTAAATTAAAAAAATTAATAACATTCAATAATTATTTGAATTACAATTAAATTTACTTCGGAACTAAAAAAACAAGAAAACGAATAATTTTAGATAGTCTGATTTATCAGCAAAGTTTTTATATTTAATAACTTAATAACTTAAAAAAAACGATTAAAAATAAATGCTCAGATATATGTGATTATTTCAATTTTAAACTTATGTTTTTATTGAATGGTTTTTACTGCAAAATTTGAATGACAGCTCATATGAGAAATCATTCAGGACTCATTATTATTTTAATTTAATCCTTTTTGAATTGACTGGTTTTTACTCCAAAATTTGAATGATAGCTCATATGAGAAATCATTCAGGACTTATTACAATTTTAATTTATATCCTTTTTGCACTTTTACTATACATACATCTAAGTAATGCATTAATGTCTATTGTGCTTGTTAAATGGCTGTAGAGGTTTAACAATTACTTTAACAAATCAAAAACATTTACAAAATAAATTAAAACAATTAAGACTCATTTCTACCAGTTTAGCAGTATATTCCCAAAGTGGCAAAAGTGTTTCGTCATTAAAAGGACACTCACTCGTATCCTGTGGGCAGGCTCATCGTGCTTCTCGTGCTCCTTGTGGTGATGATAATGCTGATGGGCGTGGCTGTGGGCGTGATGCAGCTTTCGCTTGTGGGTTAGGGGGTGACTCCTGCCCCGCTTATTGTCCTCGTGGTCGTCCTTGTCGCACCTGCGATTCTCGCAGAGCCGCAAATTGCTCAGTTGATGGCAACCCGCGTGGGTGGTGGTGTGCCGCGTGGCGGTGCCAAGGCCGCAGCTCCGGCTGCAGGCGGTCCAATTGCCGCTGGTGGTGCTGTTGTGGCAGGTGGCGTAAACTGCAACGAGTGGAGTTGCAAAGGATTGCTAATGAGCATGCTTATGATCGGGGGGCTCGTTAATCACCGCCAAATGGCAGGCACGAAATATGATTCTTAGGACGAACATCTATCTTCGTTCAAGAACCGGTTTAAGACTTTTAGTACTTTTCTACCAGATAATCTTGTAATAATCTAGATTACAATTAATACCTTAAAAATTAATGTCAGGAGCTGGAAAGAAATTGCACTTAAGGCACAAACACAACAGGACCTTTAGATAAACAACGATCTTTGTTCAAGAACTCACTAAAAAAATTTATTTATTTTCAAGCTATAAAAAAAATAAATCATTGGACTATGATTTTCTACATAAGTATGTACTAACTTCAAAAAAAAAAAATATTTCAAAGAAATGCAAAAACAGCTCCGAAGATTTATTCCTCAATTTATTTTTGTGCATCAAAAGTTGAAAAATATTTTCTTTACCCAATATAATTATTCCACTGTCACTGAATTTCAAATCAGATCGTTGGCAAATTAAAAAATATTTACAAAAATGAAGCTAGAAAGGGAATCATTCTCCGAAACTGAAGTATACTCCGTGGGAGATTGGCAGAAGTTAAAGCTACTCCTTTGGAAAAATTGGATTCTTCAGTGGAATGAAAAAATTCAAATATTTTGCGTTCTGCTCCTCCCAACGCTTTTTCTCTGTCTTATAGTAATTTTGCGATTAATAGTAAGGCCGGAATATAAGCCAGAAATTCATTACGTCCCTGAATCAACATCGGACCTCATGCTTTATATGAAGAAGCTTACGCTCGGAAATCGAATAATGCACGAGAATGGATCACTTAATATACCAAGAAATTTCCTTTGTTTCACTCCGGATACACCTTTCAATAGTGCTGTTATGAATGCTACGGTATTGCGGCTCAAACTCCTAGGGACTCGACCCTATGACACTGCATCGCACATGGAAAAGGATATGGTAATGCATAACTTTTTGGCCGGAGTGCAATTTGAAGATAAACCAGTGGCAATGAATGATAACGGATATCCGATTAATTTAAATTATTCGATTCGTTTTCCCAGTGAACTGCGCACCATGGAAGGCCTAGTAATAGAAACCTGGAGGACAGCTAATTTGCATTTGGGATACGACTCGACTGGACCCCGTAATAGAGAGGAAAATGATGGCGGCGTGCCGGTTGGTTATATAAGAGAGGGCTTCCTGCCCATCCAGCATGCCCTAACCATGTCCTGGCTTACTTTGGCCTCGGGTATCCAGGATAATGATCTGCCGCCTATCAATGTTCAGAGATTTCCCTATAGAGCATTTAGCTATGACCAATTGTTGAGTGGCCTACGGCAGCTACTGCCCTTCGTAATCCTGCTCAGCTTTATCTATCCCTGCTCGACTGTGACAAAGTATGTGACCACCGAAAAGGAGCTGCAGCTCAAGGAAATAATGAAATTGATCGGCGTCCACAACTGGCTCCATTGGATGGCGTGGTTCGTAAAGAGTTATGTATTGCTTATGGTGGTGGTGGTTCTTATCATGTTTCTGATGATGATTAAGCTCTACTATTCCGTGGCCGTACTATCAAATTCAAATTTGATTCCTGTACTAGTATTTTTGCACACCTATGTTGTGGCCAGCATATGTTTTTGCTTTTTACTGGCGGTAATGTTTACGAAAGCCAGCACGGCTGCTGCAGTGGCCTCTATACTCTGGTTCATTACCTTTATACCCTATTCATTTGCCTACTATTATTACGAACGTCTGAACCTCTTTGAAAAACTGCTCATCAGCATGGTGTTTTCGAACTCAGCCCTGGGCTTTGGCATCCATGTCATAATAAAGTGGGAAGGAACTGGAGAGGGAGTTACTTGGAACAATATGTTTCAGCCGGTCTCAGATGATGATGATCTGACCCTGTTTTATGTGATCATGGCCATGACATTCGGGGGATTTATATACTTCACCATTTGCCTTTATGTGGAACAGATATTTCCAGGTGATTACGGTATACCTCGTAGATGGGACTTTATTTTTCGCAGATCATTTTGGATGGATTTTGTGCCTATTAAATTTGTTTCAAAAACAGAAAAATACGAAAGCTCCACAAGCGGATCTCCGAAAAAACAAAAACACAGTTGTAGAAAAAAAAGGGATATGGGTGTTCAATTGTGCAACCTTCAAAAAACTTTTGGCAAACATAGAGCAGTCAAGGGCATCAATTTAAAGATGTATCGCAATGAAATTACAGTATTACTTGGACATAATGGAGCTGGCAAGACCACAACCATCAATATGATTACGGGAATAATTAAGCCCACAAATGGAACGGCCATAGTAAACGGCTATGATATTCGAACTGAATTGGAAAAAGCACGGCAATCATTGGGAATTTGTCCGCAAGTTAATATACTCTTCAACAACATGAGTGTTCGGGATCATATTAAGTTCTTTAGTAAGCTGAAGGGAATACGGGGTGTCAAGGCTGTTGAAAATGAGGTAAATAAGTATGTAACCATGTTGGAATTGCAGGACAAGTCTTTTGTGGCCGCCGAAAAACTATCTGGTGGGATGAAGCGCAAGTTGGCCCTTTGTTGTGCCCTGTGTGGAAATGCGCGGGTTGTACTTTGTGATGAACCAAGTTCCGGGATCGATGCAGCCGGTCGCAGAAGTCTGTGGGATCTACTCCAAAGCGAGCGGGACGGAAGGACTATTTTGTTAACCACTCACTATATGGATGAAGCTGATGTCCTGGGCGATCGTATAGCCATCATAGCTAATGGTCTGCTGCAATGTCAGGGTACCTCCTTTTATTTGAAGAAGAAATTTGGCACTGGCTATCAATTAATTTGCATGATGATGAGTGGCTGCAATGTGGCCGCAGTAACGCAGTTAATAAATAAGCATGTGCCTCACTTGAAACTGGAAAGGGAGTTGGGCACTGAACTAACTTATCGCCTGCCCAACGATTACTCCAAGAACTTTGCGGCGTTATTAATGGATTTGGATGAGAATTGTGCCAATTTGAAATTGGAGGGGTATGGTTTGAGTGGAGCCACTTTAGAAGATGTTTTCATTGAAGTCAACTGCGAGAAGAGAGTTCAGGGGGGAGAGGATGTGCCGCAGGCTGATAAAAGTACGGCGTTCGGGGACTTGATATTTGATCAAAAAACAAAGGAAAAAGGAACTTTTAACCGTTTATCTATGTATTGGCAGGCTCTCTTTTTGAAGAAATTTTACATCACCATAGGATATTACTGGCTTATGGTAATACAGATTTGTCTACCCATAATAATTATGACCTTGACCGTACTGAATTCGCGGGGTGGAAGGATCTACTTCGAACTACCCGCCATGCCCATATCCATTTTTCAGTACAAATATGTTTATGTAATATTGGATGATAATGCCACTGATCAAGCCTCGCCGATAGGTGAGACTTACGAGAGGCATTTGGAGCGTTACGGTGATAGAGCCAGGTTAATAAAAACAGGCGAGATGAGCTTTGAGGATTACATTCTAAGTCGTGGCATGAGTGAAAATCACCGAATTGATTTTGATTATTTGGCGGGGATCACCATTGGAAGGGATAACATCACTGTGTGGCTGAATAATAAACCTTTGCATACCGCTCCATTGACGCTTAACCTATTGCATAATGCCTTGGCCATGAAATACCTGGGAAAGGAGGCCTCCACATACGTAACTAATGATCCTTTGCCGTACAGCGACGATACCAGGTCATTGCGTCTAAACAAAGCACAGCGTTTGGGCGCCGAAATAGCCATTAATTTAAGCTTATGCATGGCATTCATTACGTCCTTCTATGCGATACCCGTCATAAAGGAGCGAGAGACTCGGGCCAAACTATTGCAATTTTTGAGTGGAGTAGATGTGGTTGCTTACTGGACAAGTCAGTTGATTTGGGACTATCTCATATTTATCATATCGGCCTTAACGTCTATATTCACGATTGCTGCTTATCAAGAATATGGCTATTCAACACCATTAGATCTAAGTCGTTACTTTTACATTCTATTGATATTTGGATTTCCTGCCATTACCCTAAGTTATGCTCTATCTGGATTTTTTTCCAATGCTGCAACAGGTTTTACCCGCATTGCCATTTTCAATACCTTTGCAGGAACTGGCATGTTTATGCTAGTCGTAGCTCTTGATTTTGAGGCTTTTCAGCTGAAACATGTGGCAGCCGAACTTGCCTGGTACTTTCGAATATTTCCACACTTCAGTTTGGCCAGTGCCGCTCTTCACATCCACATAGGATATAATATTCGAAAGGGCTGCAGTTTGCCCAGCATTACGAAATTATCTGAAGAAGAACGCTGCCGAACTGTTGCAATATGCTGTAAAATTCCAGAATATTTCGGTTGGAAAAGCCCTGGTGTTTTACCAGAAATCCTATATCTAGTGACGGTGGGATTAATATTACTTTTGCTACCAATTCTGATTGACGCTAAGATATTCGGATGGATTGGCGAAGCTTTAGTCAAATTGTGCTCCAGAAGAAAACGTTCCAGAGGAGGATCTTCACTCGAAAATGAGGATGTAGTGGCGGAGAGATTGATTGTTAGAGAAATGATAAATTCCGAAAGGAAAGACATACCTCTCTTGGTAAATAACATTACCAAACACTATAAAGATAAGCTGGCTGTGAGGGGAGTTTCCTTTCATGTCTCACATGCCGAATGTTTTGGACTCCTGGGAGTCAATGGCGCTGGTAAAACCTCAACCTTTAAGATGCTGACTGGAGATCACAAGATCACCTCCGGAGAAGCATACTTGGATGGCGAAAACATATCCACTCATAAGATTTATGGAAAAATTGGGTATTGTCCACAGTTTGATGCATTGTTCGATGATTTGACTGGTCGGCAGACATTACAAATTTATTGTTTATTAAAAGGAGTGCAACGTCGTCACATTAGGACAATAAGTTGGACGCTGGCAACATCTTTTGGATTTGAAAAGCACTTGGATAAGCGAACGAAACATTATAGTGGTGGTAATAAGCGAAAGCTAAGCACAGCCATAGCGGTACTCGGAAATCCTTCGGTTTTATATCTAGACGAGCCCACCAGTGGCATGGATCCTGCGGCGAGACGACAACTTTGGCAGGTAATAGGTGCCATTCGAATTGCCGGAAAGTCAATCGTGCTGACCTCACACAGTATGGACGAATGCGAGGCATTGTGCACCCGATTAGCCATAATGGTGGATGGCCTATTTAAATGCATAGGATCAGTTCAAGGCTTAAAAATCCAGTACTCAAAGGGTCTCATACTCAAAATAAAAGTCAAGCATAAAAAGAAACATTTTCAGAGAGTAGTGGAAAATTCTTCTTCCTCAAGCCAAAATAATTATTTTGCAGAAGTTCATCCAACAAATGAGAAAAAAAATTCTTTGTTAGGCCTGGAAAATGCACTACCAGATCGAGTTTTAAAGGTAAATAGATTTATATTGAGAGAAGTTCCTGGTGCTGAATTCAAGGAGGAATACAATGGACTAATAACATACTATATGCCACAAACAACAAATTTGGCTAAAATTTTTCAGCTTCTTGAAAGTAACATGAACAAATTGAATATTGAAGATTATTTAATTATGCAAACACGGTTGGAGGAAATATTCTTAGACTTTGCTGCACAGCGGGAAGGTTCTTTAGTGATTACTAAAAGGTATGTGCTGAACTTTTTATAGAGAAGTATTAATCTTTTAAAAGTCATTTTTTATACTTTTTCAGAAAATGTTGGTGTTGCTAGTTAAATGGTTTTGTGTTTCTTACTTTTTATAGCTGTATAATAATTATGTTATTTTCAATACATTAATTTGTTACCTATTAAATGTTTTACGATACATACAACTTTGTTGATTATTAAAACGGAATAACTACGGAATTTAATTATTGATTTTCGATGACCTTTCGTATTGGACTCCCTTTGCACTAATTGCTGGCCAGAATTGGAAATGTGTTCAACTCCTCGGAACCCGTGAGCCCCTCGTTTAATATCGCAACTGCTCGGCTTTCCATTTAAGTCGCCAAAGGCTATACCCTGTAGCTGCTGGCAGGAACGCTTAATATCTTGTTTATTTATTGCATTCTGCGCGTTTAATTAACACTTAATCCTTGTGTAAGTAATTACGATGCTGCTCCAGCATTTGCTCCTGCTCGTGGCCTCCAGTCTCGTGATGGAATAATTCATCTTCATAAATATGCGCTGCACTCACTACACGGTTTTCGGGGTAGGATGTGGGTTTTCGGGGCGCTTAAAAAGCATTAAGTTGCGCATCGGACACAGCACGACACGCCCCTGAGCGCCATTAACTCAGACCAGTGGGCGGGGGGAGGGGCAGGATGTGAACACAATGGGATGGCCACAGCCATAAACACACTTATAAAACAATAACAAGGCCATGGCAGTGGAAATGGGACTGCGCTGGGAGAAATATCATCTAAATTGGTCATCCATTTGGTCAGTTTTCGAATTACTCTCCTGTGAACTTCATTCAATTATCTTTTATAAATCAAAAACATTTAGATCTGTTCTAGGTTTGTAGAAATAGGCATGAGGACGCTTATGAAATATTTTGGGTGCTTTAAAATTAAATTTTTTTACTAATCTTGTATAAATTTCTTCTAGAAAGTTCAAACAAAAAGCAACAATATTTTCAATTATATTTTTAAAGGATAATGATGTGAAAATTAAAAAGGATTGATGAGTTTTTTTTTTAACTTTTGACTCTTCGATTTCCCAATGATAATTTTACTGAAAAAAAAATGTTGTTCGGAAAGGCAAAAATGACAAAAATAATCATCACATTAAGAAAATAATTTTTGTGTTCTCAAATAAGTAAAATTTATGTTAACTATCTTTGCCAGTTTACAAACTAGAACCTTAACATGACAATGGGTAATCGGTAATTTATGGAAAATATATTGCATTTAATTATCGTCTGAAAAGCTTCATTATCAGGCATCTAAAAATTCTAGAGATCTTGGATTTTATAATTTTTTTCAATCAAATAACTTGGACAAATGGTTAAACTTTTGGATGAGTGGAATACATATTTTTCTCCAAGTGCAAATGAACAACTTACCATCAGCTGTTGGATTCTCACAGAGCCACATCTTGCAACAGTGGCCGGGAACTTCGACGAGGCGCGGCGATCGGCAGGAAATCGTGTCCTCCGGCGCCGGGAGCTGCTCGTTGGGGCAGAGCGTCGAGCAGGCGTGGCGGCCATTCTGCAATGCCACATTAAAATACATTAAATGTGGCCCGTTGTCGCTGGTGTTGGGTTGTTTATTTAGCTTTGGCCGGGCAGCCGAAAATAAAGTCATAATGTAATGAAAATATTGGCCCAATCGCACGAGAATGGCCAAAAACTTGGCAGGGTCCTCGACTTGGCCACGAACTTTTTTGCTTGGCGTTCGTGTCTTTATGTGTGCCCTTGTATATGGGAAAATTAACATTTCGTGCGGACCCTCACTGCTTTGTTTGTAATCCACTTTTCGCCTCTAAGCGGTCAGAGCCCGATGATACTTTTTCTCCCATTCCCTGTCTTTGCCATCGTCACGAAATTGCATTGCATAAATTCCGAGTGCTTGTGCTTGTATTATGCCACATGATAAACTACCAGCGCAGCTGGAAATAAGGTGCAAAAACCAAACCAGACATGGAAAAACTAGGAGCGATTATATAGGTGGAGTCTGGTCATAAAGCAATGTCAAGGATTTAGTTTTTCTTTTGTTTGGACTTTGCTTATGAGTGAACTTTAATCGTAGTCTCTTTTGCCTGGATTCAGAAAAACTAAAAAGCCTCTTAAATATTCAACTTTACCTAGTACACAAAGTTTATGTAAATTTCTTTTCAAAATATTTCTACCTAAGCAAATTAGTTAAAGTGTAAAAAATCTTGGCCAAAAAGTTAGGAAAGAAAATATTATGAACTCAATGTTAAAACTACATAAAGCATAATCAAGACAATATGAAAACTAATCCCGTATTTATATATGGTTTATAATAGTTAAAGTATGATAAGCAATATGTAAACTTTTGTTAGATTATTTTTAGTTTTTACTACAATCAAAAACTATTTCTGAGCAACTTTTAGATTAAAGAATGTCCGTTAATTACTGTTTTCAACTCATTAACGAAACAGAATTTCCCTCCATTACAACCGCTATTAAAAACTACTCTGCAATTTTAGCTCCGAGCATTTCACACTTTATATTTAAAATTTAATTAAAATCGCTACCCAGCAAAAGCAGTTCACATCTAAATGGTGCAGAAGTTGGCGCTAATTCCACCAAAAATTTACAAGGACACAAGGAAGGCTGAAACTAAAAGCCAGAAAAGCACAGGTTAAACAACAGCGAGGCAACGAGAATCGGTTAACAAAACTGCAGTTGGCTTTTGGCCCGAAATGCTTTCTGTGTCCCAATTTCTGTATCTGTGTTTATATATATCTCGGAATGTCTGTGGTTTGTGGCCAACTCTTGTGCGGATGGCCCAAAGCATTTGGCCAAAGGCTGCGAACTGGGACCTGGGACCCGCGACTCACCTCGCAAACGCATTGAGTTTTACAATCCAATTTAAATGTGACTCCATGTGCGAATGTTGTGTTGCCAACGCTGCAATTGGCTGCAGGCGAATCCAAAGTCAAGACCATATCCCAATCCAGATGTTGCGTTGGTTTCCGTTGTTGTCACCACAAAAATAGTTCGGGAAATAGAAAATAGACGAGGTATATGAGCATAAGAATAGTAAAATTTTCCAAAGCAAAGGAATTCGAATTGAATTGCACATAAACTCTTTAAGGGCGATACGAACTTCAAACGTATCGTAGGGAATCAGTGGTTTGACTGGTTTATTATACATTTAATTTGTCTTTGCCTTCATTTCACTGCTAATTTATATCATCAAATGCGTAATACATGTCGTATGTGCAATTCCAATGAATGGGAACCCAATTAATGTCAGTGCTGTTTGTTATAAATTTCGCTGGAATCGCATATTTACAGCGCAAACAATAGACCTGCTGCCAGGCCATCGTTTGCCTCCGTGTCTCATCAAAATTGATATTGACAAATGCCGCTGCTTTATGGCATGCCATTAGCCCGCAAAAGTTTGTTTTTGCCTCGTTCTTTGTTAAACAGAGAGAAAAAATATATTTTAGATCAAGATAAAATTATATTGAAAAATAAATTAATTAATATTTAGCTGAGATCAAATTTTTCAGTTTATATTTTGTAAATAGATATTCTTAGAATAAAAATTTTAATTAGAATACCTAATTATTTACAAAATTGTTAATATCAGGATACTTATCATTTAAAATATTTAGTTGCCTATTTATTATTAAGCCACATAAAACAATAATTGTTATTTGTAAAATTATTTTGTGCCATAAATTTTGCGTTGGCTTAAATTTGTCCGTTAGATAATTAAATATTTATACCTACTTAGGATTTATTTTGATACTCTAAGCTTTCATTTTAATTAACCTAAATAGGGTATGTTTTCTGAGTATTATTATTTCCAAGCATTTCTTTAACTATGTTTCGATGCTTTTTAAAAATGATTAAAATACAATTATTTGAAGGACTTCAGAAATATATTTTTCTGTGTCCTTTGGCTGTCTGCTTGTGTGCTGGCTCTTGTTTTGGCCTGGCCAAAAACTCGTATGTGTAGCCGCCAATCACAATTACTTGGGCTTGTGGCGGGACACTTGCAATCGCAATGTGGAGCTGAATTTGGCGGATAGACACAGGTCGTGGGGCACCGACCGAAACAGGAGCCCACCCACTTGTGTTTTGTGTTCAAGGGGATCGGGTACGTGCCCTGTACTTTTCCACTTTGAATTGATTTCACTGACTACGTGACTTTTACGGAAGGACGAGACGTGTGCCCCGCCCACCATCATTCATTTGGCATCAATGGTTAATGCGAAAATTGGCATTGCGAGCTGATTGTAATGAATATGGGCACGTTGTCGCATCTTTATGACATTAGCAATTTAGGTTTATTATTGAAAAGTTCCCAGCGAGCAACGGACAATGCCGGAAGTATCTACGTGCACCGCGCCCATCACTCCTGCGATATCGTGTCATTTTCCAAAGTGCAATCTTCTTAATGTGTTTTTTTTCCGCTCTCACAAGAAGTCGTCTACATTGCACTATGGGGTTTTTGACCACTTTATGTGGCATTTAGTCATTTTTTAAAAGTGCTCTAATTAAAAAAAAAAAAATGGGAATGCATTAACAGAACATCAAACTGTTATGCCTCATACTCAAAATGTTAATACTTAACAGCATATGTTAGCATAACAGCTGTAAAGTCAGCTGTTGCATGCGAAAGTACCAGCGCTAAGTTTGCAATTTTTTCAAGGCGTTCTTTGAAATTAATTTATTCGTGTAAAACACCATTTGAAAAGAAAAAAACAAATGTAAACTGATCTCACAGGCTTGTACTATATGTTAAATGTATTAATTGTTTAAATTATGCGTGTTTATACTAATATTTTGTCACTTTATAAATGCACCTTAAGCTGAATTTTGAGGAACAAATTTCAACTTTGGGAAGAGTTTTAAAATAGAAGTTTGCATTAGTTTTCAATGCGTCCAAGTGTATGTTGTAGCCTTGTCAATTCTGAGCAAAAATATGTTAGTCTTATTGTGCACTTTTCCGCACTATTGGTGCAATTTGAATTTTTCTTAGATAACCTCACTTTCTCCAACGCCGACTTGGTTGCTGTTTGGAATAGCGGAAAGGGCCGGCTTGAGCAAGAAAAGGCTATACAATGTTTGATGAACAAATTATTTATAATATGAGGATCATTTTTAAATGTTTGTCCTGTCAGTTGCCCGTTAATTTGGACAAATTCGAATCATTTTGCCGACAAACTGGCGAATTGTTAGTCGATATGTATCCGTGGCTGCCGATGAGTTTTGAGTTTGACGAATTTTTTTCTTTTTGCTTTTGTTGCACTTATTATCATCATCTTTTATAGGCATGGACCAACAAATTTCAGCTCTTTAAATTTCATTAATTTTTTTTTAGTTTTAACCGATCGTTCCTATGGGAGCTATAGGATATTGTTTCCTGATCCAAACGATTTTCACACTATATGTGCCTAGGGACAAATAATGACGATTGGTAAAGTTTCATGTCGACATCTCCAAAACTGACCGAGTTATTAATTAATGCCACAAAAACAGGTCAAAAACCCCATAGTGCATTGGGCACCCACACACACACTTGGGTGGGTTCAAAAACCTTGCACCCCAGACTGTGACGTTTTTGAACTTGCAACGTGAGGGTGAGTAGCAGCTTCCGACTTTGGCGATATGAACGTACAGGAAGTACTGTGACCCTTCTTCAAAAAAACCTCGATCATCAGAAGGTATTACATTTTAACCGTGATGTAATGTAGACAGCGCGGATAATGCAAATTGGTGGAAAGTTGAAAGACTATTTTAATAAAAATAAATTAATCAAAATGTTTTTAAAGATTTGCGTGGTTTAAAAATCATTTATTTTGAATAGTCATCCAAAAAGCGTATTGATTATATGACCAATGTACATTAACACGTTTATTTAATTAACACGACAATCTTTGCTACCTTTAACATCATTTAAATTGATTAAGATCTCATACGTTACACAATTACGATAATCAATCTACACAGGAAATGTTTATTATATACAAAAATATATAAAAGGGCCATCAAAAAACTTAAGCTCTCATTCGGGAAAAATTTGTGAAATGGATCTCATATATTTCTTGCTATGGCAGGCATTAATCCTGCTGAAAATTGTGAACCCTTCGTTTGAAATTAACTACGAATATGTTTTTGAGGATGAAGATGTGTTTAGTAAGTGTCAAGATAAGCCACCAGGATTTTTAGATGTGGATAAATTGTTCGATTTGTCGCTTATGCACTTTGAGATGCATCCAGATGGCCTTCACATAACGGGAAATTTAACTACTTGGTGGGATGTAGAGCCAACGGATCGCATTGAGGTAATTTTAAATTACAGTTCAAATTATCTATTAATGTTACCCACTTTTAGGGCTCACTTAACATTTTACATTTGGACCGTGGAACTTGGCAGCCGACTATTCTTAATCTTAAAGTCCGCGATTTCTGCAAAATATTTTACGACCCGAAACAATTTTGGTACACTAGTTTTGCAAAATATATTATCAATAATGAAGATGCTCTCACAAAATGTTTTAACAACAAAGGAGTAAGCATCTTTTTTAATACATTTTCTCTATTATTAATGTATGTTTTCCAGACGGTATATTACTTGGAGCCATATATCATGAAGGCATATGCTGGCACTGGCATGACGATGCCTTCTGGACGAAATCGTATGATACTTACCCTGGTGGCGGTTGATGAGAATAATGTCAAACGACCAAATGGAATTTGTACTGAGATAATGGGTGAATTTGTTAAAGTTAAATAATATTTTACATACACATTGGTTATCTATTAAAAATAACTTAATGATCTAAATGTGCATTGCTTTTATAGTACATTTTATGAACTTTATGCCATTTGCTACACAAATATCTACCAGTAATGAAATTTGTAATTATATGATATTTATTTTTGAACATTCGGAACTTTTATCCGAAAACAACAAAGTCGTGTCAATTAAATTAGGCTCTCAATTAGTTTTCCGGTCGTTACTATGGCAAGTACAGTTTTCCAATTTGTATTAACCTACTAAAAATAAAGTTTTTTCTTATATTCCCTATACCTGATTTTAAGCGCTAAAAACGGAAACTGACTTTAGCCGGACCGCAGTAATTCTGAACATCTGGGTCATCTTTCTATAAGTCATCAAAAACTTAAAAAACAACAAACATTAAAATGGGTCGAAAATTTAAATTTTGATGAATGATAAATATTAAAATCAAGTTGTTTATATTATTTCTTCTTTCAATTTAAGCAAATATTGCTTTAATTAAGAGGCTCTTTTATCACAGATTTTATCTAATCATATAATAAATTGTTAAAGTATGCATACAAATTTGGCGTTTTTTAACTCCCAAAACAGCATTTGAAAAATATTCTTAAGTATATTCTCTTGTGACTTTAAAATACAAATTTTGAATTTCTGTGAATAATTATCTAATAATACCTAATTTTTTCTGTGAATAGGACATACATTTGTCGCCCCAACTCGATGTCTTGCCTTTCGAAATGAACTGTGGTTCGTTGTCTACCCTTTCTGTTGGTGTGGCACATTTTTTGTGACCCCGTGTCCCTTTGTTGGGGTCATCATCACCAGCCCCGCCCCCCGACATACGCCCTGTTTGGGGTCACGTGTGCGCAGTTTATTTGTTTTATGTGGCCTCAGTGAGGCTCTGGCTTTGGACTCGGACCTCCTTTGGCTCTATGTAGTGTTTGTTTTACTTAGAGTTTTAGATTTACTTAAGTCGTTGATGACCATGACCAAATAAAGTTTCATTTTGTGCAAAGATTTACAACACTTGAGCGTGTGCGACAAGTTTTGAGTGCCCTCCGCCGTTGGCCCCGCAGCGGATCATAGAAAAGGCTTCGGAAAAGACCACAAAGTTGAGCAAAAAAAAACGGTTCGAGCTGCAGCCCATGCTGCGTATGCGCAATTTTTGCTTCTCGAGTGTTTGCATGGGACATCATGTGATTGAGGCGTAAAAACTGTGCCCAATTCTACTTCACAAACTTAAATCTGCACTACAGATTGCCAATGGCCCTAGGACATGTTTGAACACACTTGGCAAGGATTGCTGGAATTTCAAGGTACTATACGTACAAGTATTAACAAGTTCAACGAGCTCAAAAGAGCTTGGCCAAAACACTATTAGCTAACAAGAAATTTGGGCTCCTACAGAGAAAATTAAATTCAAGTCTCAAAGAGAAAATAAACAAGAAAGGAAAGCTAACTTCGGACGGAGCCGAAGTTGACATACCCTTGCAGAATATTCTGTAAATTATATTCTTCAAAATTATTCATATGATGTATTCTTAATACTCATAAAAAGTCCCAACTTCCTAACTTTAAAAACACCAAAGTTATGGCATTTCCAATCGTTCAGTTATATGGCAGCTATAGGATATAGTCGGCCGATCCTTATGAAATTTGGTAGGTCGGATTGATTTGCCAAAAATGAAACCCATAGAAAATCCCAACTTCCTAACTTTACAAACACCAACGTTATGGCATTTCCGACCAATCAGTTATATGGCGGCTATAGGATATAGTCGTCCGATCCTTATGAAATTCGGTAGGTCGGATTAATTGGCCAAAAATAAAACACATAGAAAATCCCAACTTCCTAACTTTAAAAACACCAACGTTATGGCTTTTCCGATCGTTCAGTTATATGGCAGCTATATGATATAGTCGCCCGATCCGGCTCGTTCCGACTTATATACTACCTGCAATAGAAAGACAACTTTTGGGAAAGTTTCAAGCAGATAGCTTTAAAACTGAGGGACTAGTTTGCGTAGAAACGGACGGACAGACGGACAGACGGACGGACAGACGGACGGACAGACGGACGGACAGACGGACGGACAGACGGACGGACAGACGGACATGGCTTGATCGACTCTCCTGGTGATGCTGATCAAGAATATATATACCTTATAGGGTCGGAAATGTCTCCTTCACTGCGTTGCAAACTTTTGACTGAAATTATAATACCCTCTGCAAGTGTATAAAAATAAGTAAGTTAAAGTTCTAAATTTTAAAAGATTATTAAAAAACTTAAAAATTTCTATTAGACTCTTGTTTTAATGACTCTTAGCCAAAATCAGTGATTATTATTTCTCCAACTAAATAAAATAATTCAATAAATTTAATTTCTTCTTAACAATTTTACACCATTTGAAGTAAAAGTTTAGGAAAGCATTTTTAAATTAAATCGTTAGATATAAAATACTTTTTTTTTAGTCTCAATGTAAGTGACGAAGTTTTCGAATCAAAATTTAAATTACCAACTGAATGAATAATAATACTGAAAGTGCAATACACTCAAAGGAAGCAGACATAAATCTCAATTTTTATGATTGCAGGGAACTTTTGAAAAGTGGCTTCCCCCTGCAAGTTAACTTTGAAAAACTTTTCCTTTATATGACTTGGCCCTTCTATGGCGTCGTCTGCAAATGATATGTTCTGACTAATCTTCGCAGCTCATTCGGAGTGAACTTTCTTGTTCCTGGCGTGTTTTGTGAAAACTCTTCGTTGCTTCACGTATTTGCAAAAATGTTTGGCCAAGTTCACGGCGTCTCAGCCGTTTTTGGTGTTCCGATAACTTTCGGCTTTTAGTGAAGAGCGGCGAAGAGCGTAGAGTAGAGCAAGTTCTACAGTTTAAATAAACTTGTTCCACGCTGCCTGGACAATGTGCCCTCGGCTTGAGCGATTGGGGTATGCACAGAGAACAAATTCCATCAATATAGTAACTTTGGCATTAAGCCAAAGAAATTTGTAAATGAGTAATGTAATCACCTAATGTTTTTATACCCTTGCAGAGGGTATTATAATTTTGGTCAAAAGTGTGCAACGCAGTGAAGGAGACATCTCCGACCCTATAAAGTATATATATTCTTGATCAGGATCACCTCCTGAGTTGATATAGCCATGTCCGTCTGTCCGTCTGTCCGTCTGTCCGTCTGTCTGTCCGTCTGTCTGTCCGTCTGTCTGTTTCTACGCGAACTAGTCTCTCAGTTTTAAAGATATCGAATTGAAGCTTTGCACACACCCTTCTTTCCTTTGCACGCAGTATATAAGTCGGAACGGCCGGGATCGGCCGACTATATCCTATAGCTGCCATATAACTGAACGATCGGAAATGCCATAACTTTGGTGTTTGTAAAGTTAGGAAGTTGGGATTTTCTATGGGTTTTGTATTTGGCTAATCAATCCGACATGCCGAATTTCATAAGGATCGGCCGACTATATCCTATAGCTTCCATATAACTGATTGATCGGAAATGCCATAACTTTGGTGTTTGTAAAGTTAGAATGTTGGGATTTTCTATGGGTTTTATATTTGGCTAATCAATCCGACATGCCGAATTTCATAAGGATCGGCCGACTATATCCTATAGCTGCCATATAACTGATTGATCGGAAATGCCATAACTTTGGTGTTTGTAAAGTTAGGAAGTCGGCATTTTCTATGGGTGGTATATTTGGCCAGCCAATCCGACCTACCAAATTTCATAAGGATCGGCCGATTATATCCTATAGCTGATATATAACTGAACGATTGGAAATGTCATAACTTTGGTGTTTTTAAAGTTAGGAAGTTGGGATTTTTTATGAGTATTAAGAATGCATCATATGAATAATTTTGGAGAATATAATTTACAGAGTATTCTGCAAGGGTATATCAACTTCGGCTCCGCCCGAAGTTAGCTTTCCTTTCTTGTTATGAATACTTTTAGCTCGTATGTGATAATCATAATCATAGGCATAAGCCCAGCAAAAGAAATTTTTAATATATTACATTAATTTAAATATATTTTTATTTATCAACTTTGAATAAATTGTATGTATTTGAAATTTATTTGCAACATCAAGGGACAGTTTCTAATATTTAAATAACAATTTCAATGAAAAGTCGAAAATAAGAAAACTTTTTATCTCTAAAGAACTCAAATGTATTAATTTTTTAAATAAAGAATTAAAGGGAACTTACATTTTCTAACACGGTTAGAGCTTTATCTAAATATATACAGTTTTGCAAACAATTAATTTCTCAATGATTTTAATAACAAATCAATATTTAAATACCCCATTTTCAGGAGCAGCCTAATATAAGTATAAATATTTTGATACGATTATTTAGAGATGTTGATAAGGATTTAGAGAATTTATAATTTTTTGCCTGTGTGAGTGGCAAACAATCGTGCTGGGGCATTGATATGAGCCCGGGGCAGAACCAGTCGGTGGACTACGTGCCATGCCAGGAACTCAGCTCAGCGTGGCCAGCTAACTTTTATTTTGGTCCTGCCCATACACAAACTGTATTGGCATTTGACTCAAAACTTTTGACTCGCACGGAGTACGGGGAATAAGGGCCAATATTATATATACAAGTGTATATGCAGCTATTCTGGCAGCACGATATGGGTTGGATTTGTTGTAACGCCCTCGAATCGAAAAGTTTCTGGCACAGTTCGGACTGCTGCTGTTTAATTTTGAACAGCTTTCTACGACATCATGTGGGGGACTGCATGGAAAGCATAGAAAACAGAGAAAGAGCATGGAAAATGGCACATGTCGAAGCGAATTGAACACATACACATGCCCACGAAAAAGTGGGGGAAAATGGAAAATGAAGAAAACGAATCGAACATAAAACCATTAAAATCACTTTACTCGTTAGTTAGGCGTTTGAGCCCGTGTGCGTGTGAGTGTTTCCCAGGAGATGGGATCTACTAATCCGGGATCTGTTGGATATAGGTGCA